TCCTGCATTATTTTTGGAAGATCATTCCAGAGAATTGCACCATTAAAAGGAAATGAATATTTTCCATGTAGCATATTATATTTTAGTACAGGTAGTAATGTTTAACAGTCGTATTATCGAGCATAGCAACATTAGATCACAAAGAAAATATGACTTGTGTTTGATTCTTTTATAGGAAAGCTGTTAGAGAGGTTTTTTTAAGATAATTTTATTCATGTACCAAGTAAAGTTGTTGGTTGTCTATAATCAACTATAATTGAATCATGACATTATAATAGATGGTAAATGAGGGGGATATTGATTTTGAGTTACGTGATGTAGAGTGCCAGCTGGAGCATCTCCAGGTACAAAGTGAAAAGTTATTCTATTTGTGAATAGTGTTGATACTGGGTTAAATTTTTCGTATCATTTCATTAAAAGATGGCAATACTTGCATTACTAAATATGACTGTCATCAAAACTCACTATTTAAACAAAAATTCCTTGCTTCAAATCTCTGATGTAAATTGAGTAAACATGTCATTTTAATTCACACATTAATGCTAATGTTTACATTTTACTTCTGTTTTAGTCCACATGGCATCAATAGAAAAAATATACGTTATCATGACTAAACTTTTTATTACCACTGGCCCAGCATGACCAGTGTTTGCTAGCATGATAGAATCAAATAACTAATTGCAAGAAAACTTAAAATATCTTTGTAGATTATTGTTCCTTTAAATATGCATTACTAGAAGAATGCCCGGCTTCGCTCGGGGGTCATAACCCCGAAACCAGAAGTGGTAGACTAACGCCACCTGGCCTATGTTACTCCCCGGTCCGAGCTACCCCTATACCCCAAATTTCAGACTCGGGGCAGACCTAGTGTAGCCGCCAACCCCGAACAGACACAGGCAAACAGACAAACGACAGTCACAAATATTAGTATATATATGTACGAGCTTAATCTGCCTCTTGCAGGTCTTTCTTTTGGCCTCAAATGTTATATAAATTATTATATACAAATCGTCAGAATTTGTAATGGATTGAAACATGCTCACCATTTAAGAATTTAATGTAAAAATGGATAATCAAGACTTTGTTCATTATCTTAGCAATGAAAATCAAGACTAGCTGTTCTTGTGAAAACTTGCAACATTCATACATGTAACATAGCGCAGAATAAAGTAGTTTGAAGGTAATTTTCAATATATTCTCTATCTATTTTTAAACTATTCTAGAGAGATTTCTCAGCTCTTTATCAAAATTTTGGATAATGCATCTTTAATTACAATTGATTACCATTATACAAACGCTTCCAGGGAACAAGCATAATACATGATTGATGTGCTTATTTCTGTCATTGAGCCAAATAGCATGGTTTCGATCCGTGTGTGTAGCAAGGAGTAGGGTCGCCTGTCTGACCTTGTGGGTATCTCCGGGTCCTACAGTTTCCTCCCACTGGGTCCCACTACAAAAAAACCCTATGTAATTTGAATTTTTGAAATGAAATTTGTACAATGATAGTCCTGAAATGATCCAGTTGGTGTTGAGTGGACTTTAAACCCCATTTCTCTCTTAGTTCTGTCATCTTAGTTTTGACGAAACTGTTCAATGTGTGACATAACTTTTATGTAAATGAGTATTATTTACTGGTATTATAAAAAGATGGAAATGTTCTTTATATATGGTAACAAATACATCAATATGTCAGTTGAATCCTCATAAATTATTATGTTACATAACGGTTATATAAAATGAAAAACTGATTTAATGGTGTCAAGTCTGTCTTCTATATGAATTAATAGTCTATTCCTGGATTTCATAACTAGAAATGTAAAACATTGAATCATGCAGTACCAGCATGTTATACTTGAAACTCATAAATCCTGTAATATTTTATATATGACGGCTGTCCTGTGGTACTGCAACATGTACTGGTTCTATGGAACATACATGTACAGGTACACAAGTGACAAGTCCCATTGCACTATCAATGCAAGTCATGTTGAACAGGACCATCCAACAGCCTGTCAGTGTTAAATTATCCAGCAGTCTCTTCAACGTTTAACCCTCTATTTAATAGTAAATGCAGACTAATAAATTGCCAGGTTGTCTGACAGGTGATTGACGAGATTTATTATCTGTTTCATAACGCAGGTTTATTTAATGTCCGTCACTTGTTTCTTTACATCTGATCTTCACAGATTCAGGTTATATTTTCTTGTGTTTCTTCATTTGTCTGTTTTGGTGGATTTTATGTTGTTACAGTTCCTAAGGTTTGTGAAATTTCTTTGTTTATTGCAATGGATATTTTACATTTACCGGTATAGCATTTCAATTAATCTTTTCACAATCAAAGCATTATTAATAGTGCTCTCCTTTCACCATTATGCTCAGGGTATTTTACAAATGGAACATGAATCATAATTTATGAGGTGGACTGTAGGACTGGCCTTCAAACACTTGGGGTTCTAGACTATTAACTTGAATGACCCAGGTTGGAATCATGGCATTGGTCTGAAACCGATCTTCGGGATTTTTCAAGCATGGCCTTCACATCAATGGTGACACCTTAGCAATTGGTAAAGAAAGTGTGCCTAATTGCTTATATGGAATGAAAACCAAAGGTCATGTCAAGTACTATTTACAGATGGACATCAAAGAAGTCAAATCTATGGCCGGACAAAATTCTCCTCCCATGCTCTTCTGGCATCCCTAGATAATTTTTACATTCAGGAAGCCGGAGGTTAAAGATACAACAAAGGTGTATTACACTTCTCAGTATTTAATCTGTATTTAGATAACATCCTAAGTTTAAACATTTAGTTTCAAGGAATTTTTGGACATCCATAATCTTATTTGACAACTGTTATTTTTTCAAAGCTGCATTTTAGACACATCAACAGGGATTCAGATCATTTGGCATATAGGGGAAGCATATCATGTGAATAGTATAGGCCCAAGAACAGTTCCTTGTGGAACATCCAATGGTGGGTTTCAGTTGATGATTTGCCATTCATTGTTTCCTGTCAATCAAAGAGCTTCTTAAACCTGTAAAGTGGAATTTTAACTTTGTATTTTGTTTGTGATGTGACAGACTTGGTTAAGATGCATAGACTTTGCAGTTTTTGGGCGCGACTGAGCTGTGGTCTTATACCTGTTCAATGTTTACATAAGACCAGTTATTGCTTCAAATTATGACCTAAATGGCACGACTTTAACTTGAATAATTTTTATAGGAAGTCATTTTAATCTATGTTCACTTTGTTGTATATCGGCAAAAACCCCATCTGATTTAGGTTTCTATTTCGGGCCAGATTGAATTGATTTTTTTTTATTTACCACTTTGCCAGGTAGCTACACTAAATACTTCGTATGGAAGTAAATATATAATTCCATGTACATATTGTAATGGATTTCTTATATTTATTTTTAGAGAAAAAATATTTATGATTTGTAATAATAAAATAAAACCAAGTACGATCAATCCAAACCATTAGACAAAATTCGAAGTCCTAAAAGAACGGTATAGGCAAAATAGTGTAATCAGCATATGGACTGTTCACCGTGTGTCCATCCGTATTAGGTTAATGTTTTGTGACATGTTTATCACAATGTCCTTTATTACATCATATAGAAAAATAGGATTCGTCATGTGACCTGTATTATGTGACAGTGCTTTAAAGGTATATTCCTTCAAGGTTAATTAGGTGAATTGTACAACCCCAAAACTTATTTTCGAACTTTTGATGGGGTTTTTTTCTGATGACTTGTAAATGAATCCTAAGATATTTCAGACGAAAAATTTCTAACATTTGTTCTTTGCAAGCAACAAATATTAACTCAGATTTATTGTCTAATTCGAAAGGGGTTGGATGTCAGAATGATTAGTGCATGCATGTTATATCATAAGGTCTGTCTATTAGTCATCTGGCATGATTTTTCGATTCCCCGGTTGTGTACGTGACAAGGAGTAGGGTCGCCTGTCCAACCTCATGCGTTTTTTCCGAGTCCTCCGGTTTCCTCCCACTGCTAAAGACCCCTACGCGCAGGCAAATTATTGAAATAAAATTGAACCATATGTTAGTCCCAAAATGACTTAGTTTGTGTCGAGTGGATGTTAAACCCCATTTTTCTTTCTCTCTGTTTCTCTTGTCTAATCGAAGGCTTTAAGTTTAAAATTAAAATTAGCATGTCAATCATTAAATTGATTGGATGGTAAATTTTCCATATCAGTAAATTTCATTATTGGAAAGTATGATCCCAGATGTGTATATATACATGTACATGTATATTCAGGTAACGATGGTATGATATACTATATTATTGAATTACCTGTTAAATATGTCCGTGGTGTATACCTTATTGAATTAACCTGTAAGATATCAATATATTTGAACTTGTCTAAAAATGTCTTTGTACAGGTATTATGTATACATGCACATATATTTATCTATAGAGTAGGATAGTAATAAATTTTATAATGCAGTAATCCTCCTAAATATGTAATCAGTGGTTGAACAATATATATTCTAACTACCTAGACAGATACATCACCAAAAGTATATTATAACTTGGCTGCAACACCTGTGAATGGATTAATGTTGAATCTGGTTGGGATTAAGTAATAAATTAGTTGGGACTTATTATGCAATCTGTTCATGTTTATTATAGTAACATGTTTTATGGAATGCATTTTGACTTGATATACTATGAAATAAACAATACATTTCAGATGAGGTAATTGGGCAATTTCTTTCTTTACTTTTGGTTGTTTGACTTTTGATTGGAATACATTTTGTCAACTTGTATCAACAGATAGGCTACTGCTCCTTTAATACTGTACCAGTAAACCTTACATGTAGTGTGCACCAAATACATTATACCAACACAGTGAAAGGATTATTTTGGGATCATTTCATCATGGATATAATACTCACTGGGTATATAATAGTGTGTAGCAGATAAACATCAAAATGTCAGACATAATATATTTTATTATTTTATACTTGCAGATATTTGGAATTAACCTCTGACCCCATTTAAGCAAACAAAATGTCTGCGAAGGCGATCTCTGAGGCTAAAGGAAAAGAATTGTTGAATAAGTTTTTACAAGATAGTGCTATAAAGAACCGATTTGCTGAAGTCAACGAAACCACAAACTTCAATCAGTTGACAGAAGATCATCCATGGCTTAAAACTGAGGTAAATTGATTGTTTTAAAGATAACGAGTTACAAATCGTGAAACCTACGACAGCTGTTGTCACAATCATTGACAATCAAAGCAAGGAGAGTATCTACCCTTGATTATAATTAAATGTTACGTAATAATTATATTTTGTGAATAATCAAATTGTCTGAAAAATGCAAATAAAGACCGGCTGCTCATGGGAAAATAATTTCGACTCTAGATGTAATATGACACTAGATGTAATAAATATATTATATTGGTTTTTTTCTTGTGCAATTCTATTGGATGACACAATAAATATGTTATATTGTTGTTTCTTGGGGATTTCAATTGAATGCTACAGCTCTTAGTACCAGTATTTATTCTATTTCTGAATCATATCCCATTTTAAAAGTACCAGTAATCAAATCTTATATATGTCAAACCCCCTACTCCCTGCCATGTTGTTTATAAATATATATTGATTTGAAGTATAATTGCTTATAAATATTTTATTTTCTAGAAATTGGTAGTAAAACCAGATCAACTGATCAAGAGACGAGGTAAATTGGGGCTGATTAAAGCTGGTGTCGACTTTAATGGAGTTAAAGAATGGTTGGCAAATAAACTTGGAAAAGATTTTGAGGTGATTATCTTTATATTTCTTTTCACATGATGAAATCTTACACTATTTTCTTTTTACGCTTTTAACAAGGAACTAAAATGTAACAAGAATGTATTTGTATTTATTGCATCTCACTGATGGTGAAATCTCGACTTTCAAGTTTACATATCAACACTTTGTAGTATGTTACAGTTCTAAGAAAAATGATCGTTTGAAACTAATGATCAACTTCGGAATTCTGTACTTTAAAAAGAATAAAAATCTTTCTTTCAAGTTAAAAATAATGACATTGTGATTATTTTAAGTAGAAGAAGCAGCTGTTGTATGAAATGTTAATCCTCGGTTTAAATGCCTGACACTACAGGACATCAGTTAAATCTGAACTAAACTCATTTATTTAGACTAGGAATTATAGTTGATCTATCAAGGTTAAATCTCACTCAATGTCTAGGAATTAATATTTATTTATTTGGTGATTTTAAAAAGACCTAGGGCTTAAAGCATTTAGTTACTGGCTGAAAATCACATTAAATAATATTCAAGCATTTTGTTTAGCCAAGATATTTTATTAATAAAGTCCACCAAATTTAAAATATTTTAAGGCCCAGGGTCTACCATTCTTAATGCAATTCCTTCTTTATATCTTGTCCCAGCCTGTTTTCATTAGCCCAATCGGAGCTGAACAGTACAACGTTAAACCTCATTTCATCTCGTCCCAGCAATTATCTCAACCAGGACCTAAAATCTTGAAATTCTGTGAATGGTTTTCGCTTTCCGTGGAAAAAAACTAGAAAAATTTGTAACCTAAATTTGCGTATTGCAGGTCTTTCTTTAGGCCTGTAATGTTATTTAAATTATTAATTAGACATTAATTACAGTCTCAAATATATCAGTGCCCTGGTTACCACAATGCACACATCTTGTCAAAACTACAAACGCTGACAACTTGGCTGAGAATAAATTAATTTGAATGAAATTTTCAACATTTTCATTTTACATTATCTATTTGTGAGCTATTTAGCAAGAATGGTCAGCTCTTGATCTAAATCTTACATAATGTATCTTTTGAGTTTTATTTCATTTTCGTCATGAAATTTTCTGTTTTTTTATAAGACCACATTGAATAATGAACCCGGACATATCTTTAAAAGAAATATAATATTTATGTCAGTCCCATCCTTTTCACAAGATTACAAAAGCCTGTGATAATTTCTAATTCTATTGATAATTTCTAATTCTATTGATATCAGTAAATTTATTATACTCCTTTCTGCTCTAATTATTTTATTGAATTATTTCATAGTATCAGGTTACTGTGTGAATAACCATTACGATTTTTTGTGAAAGGATCAATCTCAGATATGTTTTAGTGAATAAAACTAGCTACTTTTGTGTGAAAGACTCTTAGATAGTTTATCCCACAACTTTTACTGTAGCCTACCATTAAGTCAACTGGCGTGGTTTCGAATCCCCGGTTGGATGTGACAAGGAGTAGGGTCACCTGTCCAACCTCGTGGGTTTCCTCCAGGTCCTCAGGTTTCCTCCACTGCTTTAAAATACCCATACGCGCAAGCGAATTATTGAAATAAAATTAAAATCATGTTAGTCCCGAAATGACCTAGTTTGTGTCAAGTGGACGTTAAACCCCATTTCTCTCTCTCCCTCTCCTACAACTGTACAACAATCTGAAGATCTTATAATTTTATAGGTTTTGAAAAAAGTTTCCATATCAACAGTATCCGTGGACTCTGGATAATCATGTTCATGTAGCCTCTCTTGTCAAATATATTCACAGTGGTGTGGCAGTCTGATTTCAGTGAATGGAAGGTGCAAGTTTTAAGGGATTATGGAAATTATTACATTTTTGCTCAATTTTGTGCAATATCATTAAATTTGATTTCTAATTTTTGCTGAATGATTGGATGTGCAGTCGTTGAAAATAAAAAAGGAACAGAGATATGATACATGTATATTGATTCTGAAGTAGGAAGTGACATCGGATGTATACTGTTTTACATAAATGAAAATATTCTAACATTTGCTTACTCTCTTTGGTTGAACACCTGGTATCACTTCTCTTATCAAGATTTATATTTTAGACATGTGTAAAAATTGTAGAGGAATTAATCGTTTCGAATTGGTTGACACTTGTAAAAAATCATAGTAATTAATCTTTGTTTCAGATTGATAGACTTGTATAAAAATCATAGAAGAATTAATCCTTGTTTGAATAGAGGAATTAATTTATGTTTCACATTGATAGACATGTGTATATATATCAAAGAGTAATTAATCTTTGTTTCAGATTGGTGCTGCTAAAGGACGTCTCAAGAATTTCATCATTGAACCATTTATAGCTCATCAACAGACTGAGGAATTCTACATCTGTATTCACTCTCATCGATATGCAGATTCTATACTCTTTCATCATGAAGGTGGAATCGATATTGGAGACGTTGATGCCAAGGTAATTATTGATTTAGATCTACTGTTAAGTTTTAATCAAGACACAGTTTATGATAAAACAAACCCCCGCCAATTAAAACCAAAAGACTTATCCATAATTTATAACGGTGAAAGTTAAACAAATTTATATCAATGAAATCCAAGACAGTGATGAATTAACTCCTTACTGAAAGTACTGTTGATGGGTAGAAGAATCACAGTGCAGTCAAGATCGGATCTCAGTGGCATAGTTGGGGACCAAAAGTAAGGCAATAAAGTAGAGGGGTTTTAATACAGGACACGTTTCTGGCGCTTCATCTTCAATAGAAGGCTTGATCTCGCTTTAACTACCTACATCTTATCAAGGCCTTGCATAATTCGGCACTAATTTCGATTGGGTACAAGCCCAGCTTGTGAGCCGATCAGATTCCTTGATCGTCGTGAATACCAAGTCTCGCACTTTCAAGCTAAAATGTCTACCTGTGATAATCGAGTTGCCAAGTTCAAGGTTCATTCAATGTCGAGGTTTCCTTGGAGGTCGCGATGTCACAACCTCTGGACACTGCTCACGTGTCTGTAGATAACATAGCTATAAGTTTGGGAATTGTGAAGTAAACAAGCAATGGCCAGATGTTGTAAAACTCGCAGTCATTGCTTCTGGAACATGCTGGCGCTTGCCCTTTATCAATTTATATCAAGATGTGTTTTATGGAAAGAAATTGATTGTTGAAATGATAAAAAGTAACCTACATTTGCTAACCCTGCAATAGTATAGCTGTGTAAATAGAAGTTGTTTATACTTGAAATGTTTTAATAGACCATACTTGAGAACCGATATCCAGTCAAGCAATAAGTTTAGCTAAAAATTAATACTATTGAAAGCTTGAACAAATTTATCTCAAGATAGAAAAAAAATGATTGAAAAAAAATAAAATAAACTACATTTGTTTGTACTTGACATTTTTACTTGATGACATTTTTTCTAGTGATTCCACTGACCAGTCAGGCATTCAGTTTAGATATTTTTTGCAAACATTTGGATAATCTTGATTTTTGGATTGGCAAGTTTTCATAATGAATTAGATGTCCATGCTTGACCAGGTATACAGTAATCATATTAAATATCAAATAATATTTAAATATATGACAGATTAAAAAGTATGGAAGCTTTTAATTGAATGATATAAATAAATTTGAATTTTTACATGCATTTGACTGTATGAAGGTGAATGAAGAACGGAACAGAATTTAATTTTGCATCAATAGGTTTTAATTAATTCATTCAGATATTCATAAATATAATTAAATCAATTAGAAATAATACTAATAAATTTATTAATAGTATGAACAGCTGTTGATTGTAGGAAAATCTTGAAAAATCTGCTGCGTCCCCATAATTATCTTTTAATACTGTAGTCTATAATACTAATGAATGATAGTAAACAATCAAAATTGTGGAAATCTGATTGAATTAGTAAAAAATAATTAGTATGGCCTGCTTTTTCTTGTTTCAAATATCCGAAAAAAGGTAGACGTTTACAAGGTAGGATTTTGGTCAGAGTTTGTCAAGTTTAAACAAGCTAACATATTTATCTTTGTATTTAGTAACCTCTTGTAAAGCGATCTAAAATGTCACCTTTATTTGATCAAGTAGAATTTACAGTTAATGTACTTGGTTTAACTACAGTAAGGACACAGTGTCTGATATTTTAACACACCAACTTATGAGTGTTTTGGATTTAAATTTCTTGTGTATTTGTTAGCGTCCCCTTAAAGGAACCCTTTGCAGTTCAAATTTGAGTCTGTGGAAATGCCGCTGTACTGGCAAAATTTCCCCATTACACACTGAATTGTATTTGTTTATTTTCATTATCCCAGTTGTTACAGAAAAGTAGGATGTTTTGGTCTAAGTCACCTTTTGTCTGTCTTAATTTAAACATACATTATGCAAGAGGTAAATCTGCCTATTGCAGGTCTTTCTTTAGGCTTGAAATGTTATTTAAACTATTAATTACACATTTATTAACATATCCAGACCATAATCAACTCTCGATGGCATCGGATACTCGTGATTTTAACTAAATTAGAACGGTTCGCCATTTAAAAATTTAATTTAAAAATGGGAAAGCGAGGCTAAGTCGCAAATATATACTAGTGTGCTAGTTACCACTATGCACACTTCTTGTCAAAACAATAAACATTGATAATTTTGCTGAGAATGAAGTAATTTGGCTGAAATTTTCTATATTTTCTTTTTTATCATCTATTTTTGAATTATTATAGCAAAAATACCCAACTCTTTATTAATGTACCTGTAAATTAAGTTTATTCTATTTCTAGGCTGTTAAAATTGATATACCTGTAGGGGGTGAACCTAATCCTGCAGAGATTAAATCAACATTACTCTCCAAAGTACCAGTGGAAAAACAAGAGTAAGTTCCAAGATTTATTATTAACTAATCTAAAAACAATAATTTTCTTTAAAAAGTTTGATTTCAATTTATATTATCTGGATAGATTTTGGAATGTGTCCCAACAATAATTTTTTCCTAACCTACCGACATCCCAAACTTAGGCTGCCTCTGTACAGTTAGCTCCGCCTGAGAATAGGCCCTTACCTAATTAACCGACATTTTAATTCCTACATCGGCGATTATAGTCGAAAACAGAGTATGCCTTTAGAAATTTTTAGAAGTCATTATTTCTCTTTGTTTTCATATTGAATGAAATTTAATATGTTTATTTAGCCGTTGTGTGTATGAAAGATGTCAAAATGGATTAGAGCAGAAGCACAAAATAGTCCACTAATTATTCAATATGGCGGCACCCATGAAAGCTACGTTCACAGAAGAATTTGTTTGCGAAGACAAATTTAGGAGTATATAACCTTGTTTTGAAAGATAAACTGATTGTAACTTTAAAGACAGTTTACAATGACAAAGACTGTATTGCAATATCACCCATTGGCACATATTATATATCACTTTTACTGGAATAGCAGAAGTCGACATTTTGCAAACTTGACATATTTGTTTACATAAACCACATGCTTCGGTTATAAAAAGCAGTATATATACGTCATTGGCCGTAAAGTTGATAAGCCCCGCCCCAAAATGATCGCATGAGCGTTTTAAATGGATGTCATTTAGCGCAGTGATGTATTCTCGAGGTATGAAGTAGATGCATCGCTGTGTGCAGTATGACCTACATGTACCAAGGGAGCTTTTGGGGGAGGGAGGGGTGAATATTGTTTTCTACACATGTGCTAGATCAAATGGTCTGTCATTGAGTCAAGTGGCATTGTTTTGATCCCAAGCTTGTATGTGACGAGGAGTAGTGTCGTCTGTTCAATCTCCTGTGTTTTCATTCCACAAGCAAATTATCGAAAATTAAAAATTGAGCTATGTTAGTCCCAGAATGACCTAATTTGTGTCAGTGGATGTTAAACTCCCTCTCTCTGCCCCAGAATGACCTAGTTTGTATCAGTGGATGTCACACTCCCTCTCTCTGCCCCAGAATGACCTAGTTTGTGTCCGTGGATGTTAAACTCCCTCTCTCTCTGCGTGTGTAATGTATACTATGATCGAGTAGTCATCAGATTAAGAATCCTGTCAATTACTGCATCAAAGTCAATAAACGATTTGGATTCAAATCACTGATCCTGACAATGCAATTTTTCCATTTCGTAATCCATGCTAAAGTGTTCTCTTATGGGTTATTAAATCTAAATCAAAGATAGATAATCTCCTGGAATGGATTCAATCAGATTAAAAAGAGCCCCATCAAAAGATTTTACCCAACAATTAGAGGTACCACTGGTCAGATTAATTGTCTGCTGTGAATGCTGAATAAAAACTGTTGGGCTGATATTTCTTTTAGAGATCCAACTTTCACAATTCACTGCAAGAGATTCTCAAATGATGAATTGTAGTGTAATATTTATAGCATCCGAGAAATTAAGTGCTAAATATTTATGTAAAACTATTTTGCTTGCAGGAATTTATTAAAGTTTGTGTTGACCTTGTACAATGTTTACCGTGATTTACATTTTACCTACCTAGAGATTAACCCATTGGGTAAGTAAATAAAGTTAGATTAACCCTTTGGGTAAGTAGACCCAAGTTAGTGAAATTGCTAGAACAAGAGAGATTCAGTAAATTTTATTTCTAGATTAATGGTTGCATCTAAACTAGATATTCTACATAAAAATCCCTAGTGCTGGCCATTATATTGTTGCATCGATGTATCTCGATTCACTGTTCCACTGTATCAAATGGAATCTTTTATATTTCATACAAATAGTTCCTATGATATTTATTTAAAGAAATATTAAATTTTTTTTCAGTGATGGTAGGAGAGAAGATCTATGTTCTAGATTTAGCAGCTAAAATTGATCAGACAGCTGAGTTCTTGTGTAAATCAAAATGGGGTAATATTGAATTTCCCCCACCATTCGGACGAGATGCTTTACCAGAGGTAATTATTTTAACCTATGTATGATTTTTACATGTTAATCAGAAATCATCTTTGATAGATTAAAAATTGAGAAATACAATATTCACTGTCATGGATAGTATTTGTCAAGAGACAGACATTTGTATATCAAAACATCGCTGTTAACCCGGAAATATGCTAACATTGTACAAGTAACTATAGCCTAGGAAATGACTGGATGTTAGTCTGTAAATCACCTGTTAGTAAATAATATTGTATATAAACAATATTGATTGAATATAAACAATGTTGATTGTGTATAAACAATATTGATTGATTGTATATAAACAATATTGATTGTATGTAAACAATATTGATTGTATATCTCAATTGATATAGGGATTGGATAGCCGTGTGGTCAAACGATGTACTTTTGATCGTAAGAGTTGTCTGCCAATCTTTGTTGGTTATCTCAGAATCCTCTGGTTCCATCAACTATTAAAGATCCCTACGCATAAGTGAATTATTGAAATAAAGCCATATTATACCCAAAATATTTAGTTTGTGTTGAGTCGACATTAAATCTCATTTCTAGGAAGCCTACATAGCTGAACTTGATGCTAAAAGTGGTGCCTCACTTAAACTGACAATTCTCAATAAAAATGGTCGAATATGGACAATGGTTGCTGGAGGTGGTGCTTCTGTTATCTATGCGTAAGTTTTTTAACTTCAAAATTCTATTCATCCTCATACAAGATTTCATTTTGTATGTCTGACATGACACAGTGTATAGGGCAGTTCAAAGTTCAGTATCCTGATGGAGTAATATAGGTGATACAACTTGATTATTGGTACATGACATATTGGTTTTATATTCGGCAACAAGTTATTTGTAACAGATTATTGTGCTAGACCTTTCTCTATATGCTCTTGATATTTCAATTAGCTCTGTGAATGAGGATTGAAGGCTGGAGCGGTGTTATTAGAGATCTACCCATTTCCATCCCTTTAACACGAAGACAGTTCATACAGTCTTGAAATTGGTTTCAATATAAATTTTTTTTACAGTTTTCAACTTGTGTTTTCAGTGATACGATCTGTGACCTAGGGGGAGCTGCCGAACTCAGTAACTATGGTGAATATTCGGGAGCACCTAGCGAACAACAGACATATGAATATGCTAAAACACTTCTTGGATTGATGACCCAGAAAAAACATCCAGAGGGTAAGACAACTTTTAATTGGATTTTTTTTAATGCTGTTAAAGTCACTTATTCTATTTCTGCATTTTTCTGACAAATCAACTTTATCGCGACTTAATCCACACGAAATTGTCCTTAAATTGAGTATTTAACATTTAATTATGAAATCAAAATATCAAGTATAGATAATCTCCCAGCTTGATTCGAAAGAGACCCATTAAAAGATTTTATCCAATACTTATGTTTAGAGAATGTTGAATGTTGAAAAATTTTCAGTTCATCATCAATGGAAATGAACCATTTTCAGTTTGGTGTTCCTTTCAGAGACTCGACTTTACAATACTGTTACTTTGAAGAGATTAATAATCTCAGAAATGATGATCAGGTTTAATGAATTAATTTAGATTATGAAGGCCTTCATTCGGTCCAACTTACGCCAGACGTCGACCTAATTAGCTACTGAATTTCACCGACTTACGCCACCTGTCAACTAGCTAATGTCTAGTCACTTTTCCTAACGACGACTGTTGTCGGCCTCTTTGTGGTAAAGTTTTATTGATCAAGAAAGTTATCAAAAAAGGCCAATTGGCTTCCAAAAAGTAGTTATCCAATAAATATATAGTTTGAACTAATTACTGCAATCATAAAATTTGTAGGTCACATCAAAGGTTTAGGGGTTATAAAGGTCGTAAACTCACGAGACAATTTGCCCATCAACGGTTGCTGCCGGCCTTTTTTATGTATTGTTTTATTGATCAATAAAGTTATAAAAAAAAACGATTGGTTTTCCAAAAGTAGTTATCCAATAAGCTTTTAGTTTGAACTAATGATTGAAATCATAAAACATATATGTCACATCAATGGTTTCGGGTTATAAGGGGATCACGTGGCTAAGTGGGTAAGACGCTGGCTCGCTAGCCTAGAGGTCAGTGTTCGATCCCTGCATTTGCCGAGTAAGTTCATCTAGATTTTTCGGCGTGGTTTCCCCTTGTCAGTGATGCAGGACGGAGGGCCTGACAAGGACAGCTGTCTAGTCGTTCGGATGTGACGAAAAACCGAGGTCCCGTGTACAAATTGGCGTGCACATAAAAGATCCCTTGGCAGTTGGAATTCGATATAAGAGTAGGCCGTAGCGCCGCTACCCGGGCAAAATTTCCCTCATAGCACACTGTATGGCGCATGCCCATCTTCATTAGCCAAGTTTAGGAGCAAAACAGTAGGACGTTAAACCCCATTTCATTTCATTTTATTTCGGGGTTATAAGGTCGTAAACTCTCGAGAAAATTTGTGTCATAGGGCGCCATTTTGTACACAAGTTTAATATTTTCACGCTCGTTCATCTAATAATTTTTTGCTATGGAAAGTGATCCCGATTCAGAATTTGAAGGAATTTTATCAAAGGATATTTATTTACATGTAAATATTTATCTCAGTAATGACAAATGTTCCGGGGGGAAAGTGATTTTTCCGAGATATGAAACAGAGAAGAAGATATACGTAATATACAGCGTACCAAAAATGGTAGCCACTCTTCGTCGAATTGTAATATCCCAGCGCTCACATTTTTAATTTTTTCGCTGTGGAAAGTGATTCCGAATCAGAATTTGTAGGATTTTTATCAAAGGGTATTTTAGATGTGAATATTAATCTCAATAGTGTTCGGGAAATTGTTTTTTCCGGGATCATAAACGGAGAAGAAGATGACCCAGATACGACTTAATACGAATAAAAATCAAAATGTGTCCCGTGGTCGGCGAATAGAATACCGACTTTGTTCAGCAAACTAAGTTAAATTCAGTGATTTTTTTCAACATTTTTAGGACATTTAAATGAGGATAAAAATAGTTTGATTTTTTTAATTTGCTCATTGTAGTAAATCTTGCACATTTTAATCGTCAATTAGACGAATGCCTACGGAAGCATGCTATGGCCTGTTGTACAATGTGCGTGTGCTAAACATTGTTGAATTTAAATAAAGAATAACTTTGTTGTTACTTTGTATTAGTGCTTAAAAGTTAGACCATTTTGATGCCCAATTATATATCTTCATTTGAATATATGAACATTTTTTGACTGGAATAATAGTTTGTGTGTTATTTTGTGTTTTCTGCAATATATTGGATTGATTGATAATCCTTTAATTAGCTCCAGGGAGATAAGCTATTGTCTAGTTAATTGGCTTAGGGAGAGACAGTAGTAGATAATGAATTAAGTCTAGGGGTCAATGAGTTAACAAAACAACCTGTTCAAATCATATTGAAGGCCTTTAACAAAACAACCTGTTCAAATCATATTAAGTATTGAATAGTTTAGAAAATTCTTACTGTATATATTTCCAGGTAAAATTTTGATCATTGGAGGAGGTATTGCTAACTTTACTAATGTGGCTACAACATTTAAGGTAAGGATATATACCCACAATTAGATCAAATTTATTGTTTTGGGGGGTGAGGCGTGCCTGATCAAGATCTTGTTTCCAGAAATGGTCAGTTGAATGATTTTGGTGGATTTAAAGCAAAAAGTTCTGTTTTGAACAACTAAATTGTCAGTTGAATGATTTTGGTGGATTTAAAGCAAAAAGTTCTGTTTTGAACAACTAAATTGATATTCAGTTGAATCGAGGCTTGATAAAGCAAAAAGAGGACTGAATTCTGTGTCACTTGATTGTGATATTTCAATTTCAAATGTTCCAGACTATCGGTCGCACATCCCCAATAATAGTAGGAGATGATGGGGTGACAGTGCTGGAGAAAACCACAATTTATTTTATGCAGTTTTAGCCAACGTACCAATTGATTAATTCTATCATAATAATTTTGAAATGTACGATATATTTGCAGGGAATAGTACGAGCTTTAAGAGAATATCAACAAAAATTAATCGAATTTAATGTAAAGATCTATGTTAGACGAGCCGGACCAAATTACCAGGAGGGTTTACGTATCATGAGAGATTTAGGTGGGTATTCAATGATTTAATTGTACTTTAAAAATTTCTACATTTATGTACTTTATACAATCCAACCAAAAGTTTGTGGTTCTGTTTCGTGTAGGGCATGATATAGTTTTCAATCACAGTTCTCAGTCTAAAAGAAATGGGGTTTAACCTTCAATTGTTCTGCTCTGACTGGGAAAAAGTATCGGAGGTTTGAAGAATTGAAGGATGTGTTTGTTCGGGACAAGTAGGGCATCTGACGAGGAAAGGTTCGGGTTGGGAATTTGACAAGTCATATTGTTTGGATGGCACAGGCTATTCGAGGTTCAATGTACAAGTTCTTACATTATTGAAAAGATCCCTCAGCAGTTTGAATGTGAAGAGTCAGCCATAGGACCACTGCCCGGGCAGAATTTCCCTCATAACACACTGTATGGCGTATGTCTGTCTTCATTAGCCCAGTTCGGAGCAGAACAGTAGGATATTAAACACCATTTTATTTATCACCACCCTAAGTAACTGCTGGTGATTGGTATAATACATGCTTACTTCCTAGAACACCTGATACCACTTCTCAAGGTGTCCATACAAATTTCTTATTTATCAGTTCAAAATATGTGTTTTTATTTTCTAGGTGATACCCTTGGTGTTGAGATTCATGTATTTGGACCAGAAACTCACATGACTTCTATTGTTAGTATGGCTCTAGGTAAACGTACCATTCCTCACGATCCTCGACCAAAGAAAACTACTGCTAACTTCCTGCTAGGTGGAGCTGTAAGTACCTTTTATTGGCTAACAACAGTCTTATTGATAGTTAAATTGTTTCCTGATCAGGAGGTTTGAGGTTTTATCCTGGTTTTGTACAAGAAACCTCCCCTGTTTTTCCCTTGATATTGGTCCTGTGTATACCATGGAGGGAATGTTTAAGATCCCCTGACAGTTAGGAAATGCCGTTATCGGACAAACTTTTACCTTATAGTACACTGCATGAAGTATACCCGTCTTCATTAGCCAGGTTATCTTCAGTAATTCTACAATAGAAATATAAACCTTACATTATGTACAGATGGACCACATCATGCATAACAATTAACTAGAAATGTGCATTACAAACAAAATAAACAAGACAAAAATCCTGGACATTGTGTATCAAAGATAAAAATCTGTATACAGATATAACTGGACTATTGAAGACGGGCATACACTTAGTGTGCTATGGGGGATATTTTGCCCAGACAGTGGCACTGCAGCATACTCTTATATTGAATTCCGACTCCCATTGGGTCTCTTACGTGCATGGCATGGGACAATGGTTTTTCATCAATCCAAACGACTATACATTGTCTCTTGCCACACACTCTGTCCTGCACCACTGACAAGGCAGAACCACGCCGGAAAATCCCAATGAACTTTTATTGACAAACACCAGGATCGAACAGGGGACCTCCAGGTTAGCAGATCAACATCTTACTCACTGAGTCACTGTAGCTCCCAATATATAATAATATATATTGCTAGAAAACTATATCAATAATAGCTAGAAGCTTACTTTCTCTGCCTTTATCCATTGTCATTTATAAAGGATTTATTGAAAAAAATAGTTGTTTTTAAAATGAAAATAACCCTTCTTAATAGAAGCAATATTTTCTTATTTAAAATGCAAATAAATTTTCTTATGTAAAGATTAATAAAATAGAAACTTCCTTACTTACATTGGTCATAGACAATAATTATCAACAAATCTTGTATTCTAACAATAGATAGTTTGCTAGAAGAATATTATATTTTTTTTTATGTTTCAGTTAATGCAGGTAAAACTATAAAATCTCTAGTCTAGTCCAGTTGCAGTCTCTTAAATTAAAATATTCGAGATCTTGTCTTCCCACAAGAAAATATTTAGAATTAAAAAAATTGGAAAATTTGCAAAAGCTGAGATAATGTTTTAATAAAAGAGAATGTAACTTGACTGTTAGATTTTGTGAAGATATTTTCTTAGCAATCCTTCTTTGCATGCTATCTATTTATTTAGAATGATCTTAGTTTATGAAAACCAGTCAAATATTAGAGCACCCCTTGAATAAAATAAAATAAACTGTTCAATTCTAATTCATAAACTTATTATGTCGGAGGAACAGTCTAATATTTCCAAGGGGTGTTTTGTCATTTGACATGAGTAAAGTTAAGATTCTGCTTTTATACCTTTCAATTAATTTAAAGGAGAAATTTCCTCTAATTTTATTTTTATTAAATATTGAGAATGTAAAAAAAGAATGAAACGAAAATGTCAAATATCAGATGTTTCTAAAATTAGCACAGAGGAATGTTATCCTTTAAAGTTAATGATATCGAAATGTAGATTATTTCACTTTGCCTTTCTGCTGCTCAACAAATATTCTATCCAAGCAAAATTCCTCAATTCTGATCAGTTATCTTGATATAGTATAGTTTTATATTGTAATCATTACTGTAGTCGCACATTTTGGGTTCAGCCCATGTCTCGGGGGGGCTGGATTCAGCCCACGTCACGCTTGTTGGGTTCAGCCCACATCTTGCGGTTTGGGTTCAGCCCACCTCCCGCGGTTTGGGTTCAGCCCACCTCCCGCGGTTTGGGTTCAGCCCACCTCGTGCGGTTTGGGTTCAGCCCACCTCGTGCGGTTTGGGTTCAGCCCACCTCACGCGGTTTGGATTCAGCCCACCTCATGCGGTTTGGATTCAGCCCACCTCACGCGGTTTGGGTTCAGCACCGACAGTTTAGTGCATATGACATTGCAAGTGTTGATGACAGTATTTATAAGCAGTAATGATTATAGTGTGTTGTATTTAAACTAGTTATGAATGTATGAACTGATTATTTTACAGAATGTGACTGGTGTTAAATCTTTAGTATCTTTATTTAGTGGTGTATGTTGTTAGTCTATTTTTCTTGTAGAAACATTGAACCTCTCGACTCATATTGATATGAATTGTACATTATCACTCTCCTCTTATCTGTATGAAAAAAAACCTGTTGAATCGTAACATTGGCAAACTATTTTAAATTTTCCATATGAAATGAAGACCAGGAAAATGTCTTCCATCTACATGCACTTAAAACGTATAGTAAAAATACTGCTCTAGAAGATGTTCTGGTTTTTGAAGCAATCTGTCAAAAGAACCCGTAGGGCAAGCTTGATTCATATTTCTTGTAATTTGATTGTGTAGCATTTTAACACAATATAAAACAAACTAAATGATAAAGAGAGGACAGAATTTGTTATTCATATAGATATTAAGAGAAATGGTTACTTAGTCTTGGTATTAGAATTTAGAATTTTAAAATATTTGGATTAATACAAATTATAGTTTGAATAGATTTTTATATTTTGTTTCTTGTGCTTTTGTCTTAGATATAGCTTCTTGATTTAGATCACCTTTTTGTCAAGAGAAAAAAATCTTTCTGGATATTTGTGAATGGAAGATATGTGATAAATGAGTTACTAAATATAGACCAATATTGTACAGTATGCTGAGATTTCTGTCAATTTTTGTCTTTAACTTTCTTAAGAGGAACTATATTTTTATCTTCATCCAGGGTTTGGTTTTATGCATCTTCTAAACTAAGAATTGTAAATTTTTGGCTGATATATGAAAATTGTCTATTACTCACCAGTTATAAAGAAGACACAGTGTATTTGACATCTCATATATATCAGTAACTCATTTATTGCCTATTAGGTTTGATCATTCCGAGAACATCATCACTGTATCCTTGGCTTTGCTTTTAATGTTGCTCATTTCATCCTCAAAACTTGTATCATTGTTGAACATTCCTCATTCAGCCTGAAAAGCTCTTTTTTTTGAAACGTGATAAATGACATATTTATAGAAAAACAATATAATTAAAAATTTGGTGTAGAGAGACTGTGTAAATTGCTTTATAAACGGGAAGTTTTTGATGGGATTCATCACATTTTGAAAAGAGCTTTTAAGGACGTAATAAAATGTTAATGGTTTGGTATAGTGCTGACAAACGCTTTAGACTACCATATCAAAGAAAATGTTGATGGTTGGATATATAGGGCTGACAACAGTTTCAGAATCAACGTGTAATAAGATGTTAATGGTTGGGATGTGACTACAACTTTAATAAAATGTTGTGCTTTAGACTGTATGTCCGGTTCTTGTGTTATATAATTAAACCATAGACTAGTTCCTGTGTTATAATAAAACGTTGTCTAGTTTCTGTGTTCATGGTGACTTGATGTCTTACAACTCTGATCAATCTTTTATTTAATTGATGACATGGCATGGTTCCTGTCATGTTCTGCTAGAATTGAATATAATGAAATTAAATTGAAACCCATGTATATATATATATATAGAGAGATAATCTATGTTAATTTGTCTGTTAGGAGCTTAATGACATGTGACCATGTAGATGAATTAATTTGTGATATCAGACAGGTTTAAATATAAAAAACTAAATAAAAACTGAGTATTTTTCTTTTTATAGCAAACACCTGATCCTCGACGTGGATCCAATGATGTAGAAAAATCAGAACAGACAAAATCACCTGTATCAAACCTTGGACTTCAAAAAGGAGCTCAAACTAAGAAATCAGGGAGTTTGTTTACCAAGAGTACTAAAGCTATTATCTGGGGTATGCAATCTCGAGCTGTACAGGGTATGATGGACTTTGATTATGTCTGCTCTCGTAAAGAACCATCTGTAGTAGCCATGATCTACCCTTTTACGTAAGTTGACTGTGATATGGAAATGATCTAGTATTTTTAATATTCAGACATTTTTTTGTCAGGTGTTAATTTGTCAAACTTGTCATAAGAATGGTTTATAAGGAACACATCTATTGATTTATATTTCCAACTTTTAAGAGGGGGGGGGGGGGAATGGCCGAATGGTTAGCACTCTGCATCAGAACGTCTTTCAATGAGTCAATTGGTGTGGTTTCAATTCCCGGGTTGTACGTGACAAGGAGTAGTGTTGCCTGTCCAACCTTGTGGGTTTTCTCCGGGTCCTCCGTTTTCCTCCCACTGCTAAAGACCCCGACGCGCAAGCGAATTATTGAAATAAAATTGAACCAAATGTTAGTCCCAAAATGACCCCGAGTTCATGCTGGAAAATTGTCTTAGTTTATTGCGACGACAAGAAAAAATGTCTGGATAATCAAGGCTTTTTCAAAAGATTTTACCAAATTTTCTGTGTGATAGGTTTTAACATTCTGCACACAGTGAATTATTGACTTTGAGAATAAATCTCTGCCCTGAATGGCCTCCCATACTCTAAAATTAGTATTTTATTTTGTAACATGGTTCTAACACGTTTTACACCTTCCAATATGGAATAAATACTTCTCAAAATCTGCAAAAATGCACTTAGTGTTTTTGTCTCAAATTGTTGATTTAGGAATTAAAATGTCTTTCCATTAGCTTTGTCTTTTCTCAATTGTAGGCTATTGTATACAGTGTGACTTTTGTTTTGGGTTTTAATTGGTGGGCCCCCATGTATACATTTACGTGCACATAAAAGATCCCTTGTCAGTTGGAATTCGATATAAGAATAGACCATTGTGTCGCTGCCCGGGCAAATTTCCCTCATAGCGCACTGTGTGGTGTAGGCCCGTCTTCATTAGCCCAATATAGGAGCAGAACAGTAGGACGTTAAACCCCATTTGATTTTAATTGGTGGTTTGATCTAGAGCTTTATTAAATATGTTTATTATTTTAGTGGAGACCATAAACAGAAGTTTTATTGGGGCCACAAGGAAGTGTTGATTCCAGTTTATAAGAACATGAAAGATGCCATGACTAAACATTCTGATGCTGATGTTCTAGTGAATTTTGCTTCGTTAAGATCAGCTTACGACAGCACCATAGAAACTATGAACTATCCACAGGTAGGTCTGTCAATAACTTTTATTTATTCCCTATAGATTAATGTTTATGTGTAATTGTATGTTTGATAACGACCAGTGAAATCTTGTCAAAACGTCGTGTGTATATTATATAATGATTGTTATCCTTAGAACTGTATTGTGTTATGTTCAATCACTAAATTATATACACACAACGTTTCAACACGATTTTAATGGTTGTTATCAAGCATACAAATAACAACCAGTATATACACTAAGATCATTCTGCTGGCGATCAAACCTTAAATTACTTGAACCCTTGATGACAAATGAAGTGTACTTTGTTATACAGATGGGACAAATCACCGATCCATCTGTGTGTATACACTGGTGTGAACAAAAAAGAACCTGTACAATTTAGAAATTGTAGAGCAGGCAGAAGCACCTATTTTCCATTGGACGTGTAACTACATGTATGTTTCAGCTATGGTTGATTGAAATGTTTTTATTTTCTTCAGTTGTCACAATCTTTCTGGCCTGAAATCTCATTGTTCATTTGGCTATCACTTTTTGCATTCATAAATGTTAAAGGATATCTCAAAGCATTGTTGCGATAGGATGACGTATTTCCAATGTATTTTGTTCATTTTGAATTACTGACTGTATTTAAAATGAAAAAAATTATTTTTAGATCCGAACAATAGCTATAATAGCTGAAGGTATACCAGAGAATTTAACCCGACAGTTAGTTAAAACAGCTGATGAAAAAGGTGTTGTTATAATTGGCCCAGCCACGGTATGTATAGATAATCTTTTATTTAAATCATTTACAAAGACAGAACATGAGAAATGAACAGAATGTCCAAGGGTTGAATCAAAGAATGTCTGGATTTTTCAAGTTGAATTTCCCACGTTTTGTGGTTCATATTGGGTGATGACAATTAAAAGTTTATAAAGTCACTAGAAGAATGCCCGGCTTCGCTCGGGGGTCATAACTCCGAAACTGGAAGTGGTAGACTAACGCCACCTGGCCTATGTTACTCCCCGGTCCGAGCTACCCCTATACCTCAAATTTCAGACTCGGGGCAGACCCAGTGTAGCCGCCAACCCCGAACAGACAGACAAACGACAGTCACAAATATTAGTATAGATGGTGATCCAAGATCTCATCTATAAATGTACACGTTAAGAGAAGCAGTGGAATAATTTTGAATTTGAATTGTTCAAATCCTTTTATTTATAGTGCTTAATAACGTGAATTAGAATTGGTGAAAGAGAAAGCATACTCTGCCTAGATAAATGAAATAAATGGTATTGAGCATTCTAAAAAAACAAATGGGATTGTAGAGGTGGTGAAGAGTTTTCACTGAAAATAAGGTCTTCCATCTTTGTTGCACAACTGCCTAAAGATCATTGCACAAGCTTATTAGTGGCAATATGTTAATCCCCAAACTACTTAGCTGTTATTTGTCTGTTGTATATGACTGTGATGTATATGATGTGTTATTTGACAGTTGTATATTTGTTTTATAGGTTGGAGGAGTGAAACCAGGTTGTTTAAAGATAGGTAATACTGGTGGAATGTTAGATAATATTCTAGCTTCTAAATTATACAGACCTGGAAGGTAATAACTTAAAAATACTTATATACATAGACATAACAGGTAATAATAATACAGATCTGGCATGTAATTGCTTTCATACACAAGGGAGGTAAACCACAAGATGGTTCCACTCAAGTGTATGATTTATCCCTTATTTTTTTGGAATTCGATATAAGAGTAGGCTGTGATGCCGCTGTCCGGGCAAAATTTCCCTCATAGCACACTGTATGGCGTATGCCCGTCTTCATTAGCCCAGGTTAGGAGCAGAACAGTAGGACGTTAAACTCCCATTTCATTTCATTTTCATTTCTGTTCTGATTATGTTTAAACAACGGGTGAACACTCTTTAAAATATGTTGACCACATGAGTAAGATGTCTTGCAGTGTGAATCTGCTGCTTTTGAATCTGTAGACTTCCTTCCCCAGTATTTATGTTGTATTGGTTGTCTTACAGTGTGGCATATGTATCAAGATCAGGGGGTATGTCCAATGAGTTGAACAACATTATATCACTGAATACTAATGGTGTGTATGAAGGTGTCGCTATCGGTGGAGACCGGTAAGTCATATTTTAATTATCTTCATAAATTGTATTAAATTTGGTTGATATACCAAAGATTTAGTTGTGTTGATGGTGATGCCCAAGCCATATTGAAAGATTTGAAAGTATTTCTGACGTATTTGTGATGTAACTAAAGTACCGCTTGAATGGGGGCAACTAGAATTTGTGTAAAAGTTGGTAATCTTTTTGATATTTAGAAACAAATGAAATATGGTCTTTAATTTTATTTTTATCATGTAGTTATCCTGGTACAACATTTATGGATCATATTTTACGATATCAAGATGACCCAGAGGTTAAAATGATCATCTTATTAGGAGAGGTAAGTTTAAAACCACAGATTCTCGTTTCTGTTTTCTGGACTATTTTATTTAAAACATATAAAAAGATGCATTATGTAAGAGCTTAATCTGCCTATTGCGGGTCTTTCTTTTGACCTCAAATGTTATATAAATTAACATGTAGACCAAAGGATGGTTGTGATTTTCAAAGGATTGAAACACGAAACATGATAGCCATTTAGTATTTAATTTAAAACTGGATAATCAAGACTTTGTTTATCGTGAAAACGGTAACAGTGAAGATCGAATCTATGGTATTCTTCAGATAAGGCTCAGAATGAAATTTTCAATATATTCATTTTCATTATCTATTTTTGAACTATTATAGCAAGAACTGTCTTGCATAAGGCATCTTTCAGAAAACCAAACCAGAATTTAAATGTTAGATAATCTTATGGCTCAGATACCATCAAAAGATTTTAGCGAAGAAGATAGATGTCTCTGGCTTGTTTTCACCCTATCTCAGATTGTACCGAATATCGACAATGTTTCAATACAACATATCTTTGTAAATACTGAACAAAAAAAAAAGATTTTGGGACAGATATTCAACTGTTTTATCAATTTGTTAAGTATGTAAAATGCCTGTATTGAACTGATTTATCTATTGTTATAGGTTGGAGGTAATGAAGAATATCAACTAGTGACGGCATTAAAAGATGGCCGTGTCAATAAACCAGTTATAGCCTGGTGTATTGGTACTTGTGCTAAAATGTTCACATCAGAGGTAAGTACAACAGTAGGATTAAATTCCTTTATTTTTGCGTTCATTTTATACGATTGACTAAATTTTAAATATATATCCTTTTTATGCCGTGTATGCAACACATATAGAAGTATACATATCCAAAAAATATTGGCACAACCGTAAACCTGCACTACGTTGTTTCACGGTAAATGGAGAGATAAAAGGTATGCCAACACAAACTGATTTCAACACTGGTTTAATCAAATTTAACATTTCAAATATCTATATTTTGCAATATGACAATTTTCTGTATAATTTAACAAATCAGAACAACGTTTATGGGAAATGATGTCACTCGGTAGGGCCTATTATTGTTTATTGTATGCTTCATATAGATTGTAAACCAATATTTCGTGAAAGGCTTAAATAGCTTCATTGTGTTGTAAAGTTATTGTTGTTGTAACTAGGTTCAGTTTGGTCATGCTGGAGCTTGTGCTAATGCTGCTTCAGAAACAGCTGAAAGTAAAAATGAAGCTTTACGTGAAGTTGGCGCCCATGTACCTAGAAGTTTTGATGAACTTGGTACACTTATCAAGTGAGTATATGACTTTTATTTTTTCAGAATATTCATTTGATTCTTGTAATTGTTCATTAATCACTACCAGATGTCATATGGTATCCATTAATAAATGTCGTCAGTGTAGATCTGTATTTCAAATGTCAGAAGCAGGAGAAATAGCCCAAATATCTTGTTTAAAAGTTTTCGGCTATAAATGTGGAGCTGTTCAGATGCAAACACTAGGTGCTAAACAGGATTTGATTTGCTATTCACAAGAACAATATTCAGTTTGTGTTCAGATTTTGGCAAAACTTAAACACTAGGACGAGTATCATATAGAAGTGAATTATATCTTTATAGAGAAGTGTATGATAAACTGGTTGAGAATGGTACAGTGGTTGTCCAGGCAGAAGTCCCACCACCAACCGTACCCATGGATTATACATGGGCTTGTGTAAGTAACATTTCACTTGAATAAAACCAAAGTAAATTTAGAACTGCTGAGACACTTATCAGGGCCCCTTACTTCAATTTTGTATTGTCACCCCATTGTTCTGCTGACCACAATTAGTCGTGAAGGCTAAAGATATCTTATTTACACATTGTATTTATGTTCATAAAACAAAGATTTTGTTTGTGAGATTTTTAACAATTTCCAACGACTCGCAAGTAGATGATTAACAGTAATGTTATGTTAATGTACGGAAGAACTAAATTCTGTCCAATTTTAACTATTTCTGATAATGGCGGCGTGGTTTGTTCCCCAAATCAAGTTTTTAGTCTCCTGTAAATGCTCCACTACAAAAGAATAAAAATGAGACCGCCTTTATGGACTGCCCTGATACAACTTGATTGCTGCTGGCACATGTTGTGTTGGCTGTCATCTAATCTTTAACTGTTATAAACTATAAATTCAACTGTTTTTATTGAGATTTATGATTTAAGTCTGTGGCATGGAAATTGATCGATCTGTAAATTCTCTAGTCAATTTCTCCATTAAAATAGTAAATAAGACCAAAATGATAGACCAATGGTCAACCCATTAATGCTATATTACCTGTATATTATAGGAATTAGGTTTAATCCGTAAACCAGCATCATTTATGACAAGTATATGTGATGAACGAGGACAAGAGTTATTATATGCTGGTATTCCTATAACCGATATATTTAAAGAAGATATGGGTATTGGTGGAGTACTTAGTTTACTCTGGTTCCAGAGAAGGTAGGAATAATCTTTTATTTCTGGATATCCTACGACCACTGTAAGGCAGTTGACAGTACTGCTACTAACAATCATTCTGTTTCTTCCCACTGCTGAAGAATCCTAAGTTTAAATCAAAGCCCTAAATGACTTAGTTTGTGACAAGTCGACATTTAACCCCATGCCTCTTTACAGACTTACAGTGAAGCCCTTCATTATAATATATTGAGGACTTGCATTAACATGTGGGCGGTGAGTGGACTCCAACAGTGCAGAAAAGTAGGATTTTAAACCCCATTTCATTTCCCCACAGCAGCGTTATAGTGAAGTTCCATTGTGCTCAAACAAATAATATACCAATTTTTTATGTGTTTTCAGATTACCTCGTTATGCCACCAAGTTTATAGAAATGTGTTTAATGGTCACGGCCGATCATGGACCTGCTGTCTCTGGAGCTCATAATACCATTGTGTGTGCTCGTGCTGGTAAAGATCTCATCTCAAGTCTTACATCTGGTCTGCTCACTATCGTAAGTTTTTATTAGTATGAGCAATATTTTATCATTTGTATGCATTTGCTAAGCAAAGCTGTTAATAAGCACTGAGGATCATATTCCGAAAATGCCGGTTGTTGAACTTCATTGCCGTATTCACAAACGTTGATTTGGGCGTATATTCATGTGGACGTATATTGTCGTCGCCCCTGTCCGTCCGGACGTCCGTCCACAATTGTTTGTGGACACTCGACAGGTCACAATTCTTATCCGATTTTGACGAAACTTGAAATATAGGTTTATCTCCAAAAGATCTCGGCTGCTTTCAATATTGGCATGTATCGGATCGAAACTTCATGGATTATGGCCCCTGTTTGTACGAAAAATCACGTTTTTGTGGACGCCCTTCATTCTCAAATAGCGTAAAAATATGGTATATCAAGGTTGTGGACCCTATGGAGGTCACAATTTTTATCCGATTTTGTTGAAACTTGAAATGTAAGTTTATAACCCAAAGATCTTGGTTCCTTTCGATATTCGCGCATATCGGACCGTAACTTCCTGAATTATGGCCCCTGATTGTAGGAAAAATCACTTTCTTTTTAGCTTGTTCTCTATCCATCTCTCGAAAATGTGGGCATATCCTGCCTGGCAGCTGCTGGTTAGTCCTTGAGAGCAAAACCCTGTTCAGCACTAATTAACGTTGGTATTTGAAGTGTAAGAGGAAATGCTGCTGTCAAGGCAAAAATCTCCCTCGGGTAACTCAAGTAACCATTAAAATCAAAAATACCATTCAAAGCATCAAACCCCATATATTCCAATCTGTGTATCCTCTGTCAATTGTCAGGCATTAATCCTTGTCTGTTAAAGTATTTTGTTTTGTTTACAGGGTGATCGTTTTGGAGGAGCTTTAGATGCAGCAGCCAAACAGTTTAGTGAATCATATGATCGTGGAATGATACCCATGGATTTTGTTAATGATATGCGTAAAAAGGGACAACTTATTATGGGAATTGGTCACAGAATTAAATCAGTAAGTTCAAATCCTTGATATAATTCACCCCAAATGTAGGTGGGTGTAGTCCCCTGATGGACTATTTACTGGGCTGACTGTATAGTATATCAGACGACTGGCCAGACTGTATATTATTTCAGACAACAAACCATTGAGCTGACGGCAGACAAATTGCTAAATTTACTTTGACTTCAGACATTACTGGGTAGACTGTGAGTCAAGAATCTACCGGGCTAACTATTTACTTAATCTAATCCAATGGTCTGCTGTTAACTTGAGCTATGATTATATGAACTCTGGACTGTTCACCATTACTGGACTTGTGACCTGTATATTCCAGTTCAATTACTAAATGCCATTGAAACAATAGATCATTTATGTTTATTTCATGATACTTAATATTTTAAATGGTTTTTTTTTTCCAGTTAAATAATCCTGACATGAGAGTGGTTATATTAAAAGATTATGTTAAGAAACATTTCCCTGCTACACCACTTTTAGATTATGCTCTAGAAGTTGAGAAGATCACCACATCCAAGGTATAGATAATAGAATTTACCTGTGTTTGTTCTCCAGCCATGGAGTTAATTTGGTTTGACCTAACCTTGAAATGAATGGGTTGTGTTTGGTCTTTTTTATTACAGTTTGTAATCGAAGGCCTACTTTAATTGATCTAATTGTGTTGAGGGCAAATGAAACGTTTTTTTGCTGTCAATAATTTCTTAAGACATCCTGAAAACGGTTGCTAAATAATCTGTAATAAAGAGTATATTCTTTTGAATATTGTTGATCCATAAATACTTTTTTTTCAGAAACCTAATCTGATTTTGAATGTAGATGGTTTTATTGGGGTATCGTTTGTTGATTTGTTGAGAAATTGTGGCTGTTTTACAAGGTAGGTTGACTTTCTGTAAAATTATTCTGTTCACAAACCTATCTTGAGCATTAATTTAAATGAGATATTAGAGAATGAGACAAGTTTGTGTATTTACTAAATGATGTCCTGTATTATCTCATGGTACTATTTAATAATTGAGATGCTGAGTGAATTGAATGGTTTTGACACTTGGACTGATCACTGGATTAGAATGACCAGATATTTGAGGCTAGTCTTGCATGATTCCAATGACACTACTTAATAACTGGATTGGAAAAACAATGATTCATATCCAACCCTGCTCCTGGGTAAAGAACTTTTCTGGATTGTTTGGTTTTGGGATGGCACGTAAGAGTACCTTTGAATTTAAAGAAGTCAGGAATGCTGTCTGGACAAAATTCTGATCCTTAACACCAATAAATTTTTCTTAAGAGTAACCTTTGAGCCACGGTGGCTCAATGAGTGAGAAGTTGGTTTGTGTGCACCGAGAAAGTTCATCAGAATTTTTCGGTGTGGTTGCCCCTTGTCAGTGGTGCAGGATGCAGAGCTTGGCAAGGGACAACGCAAAGTCGTTCGGATGGGATGAAACACCAATATCCTGTGTACACATTGGCACGTTAAAGAATCTTTGGTGGATGAAATTTGAAATAAAATGTCTTCATTAACCCAGTCGGCGCAGAACCCCATTTCATTTCTTAATTCACTTAGAATAACCTTTCACAGAATTATGGGCTTTCGTATTAGAATATATTATATTATATAGTCACTAATTATGTTGGACAAAATTGACTTAATGGTTATTGCTTTAGAATAGTAGTGATTTTCATGTTGGTAATACACAAATGTTAGAGATTTTCGTCTCTGTTCATGCTGCTAATGATTTTCCCATCTGTTCATCTTCGTAGTACAAAGATATTAGTGATTTTCGCATCTGTTCATGTTGGTAATGGATTCCGCACCTGTTCATGTTGGTAATACATGAATATTATTGATTTTCACATCTGTTCATGTTGGTAATGTATATTTTGTAATTTTAGGGAAGAGTCAACAGAATATGTTGAAATCGGTGCTCTGAATGCTTTGTTTGTTCTGGGTAGAAGTATGGGATTTATTGGTAAGTTATTACTTGGATCATATGGTCTATCATTGAGTCAACTGGTGTGGTTTCGCTTCCCAGTTTGTATGTGACAAGGAGTAGAAGCACCAGGTCAACCTCATGGATTTTCTATGACTCCTCCAGTTTCCTCCCACAGGTCAATACCCGCATTGTGCAAGGGAAGTAATGAAATAAACTTCAACCGTGTGTTAGTTCTGAAATGACCTACTTTGTGTCGAGTGGACGTTAAAACCCCATTTCTCTGTATTAATCAGGATAAGTGGCCGTTTGCCTGAAGTTTTCCAACAGTAATAGCTGTCTTAGAAATGTATCATGATACGAGATAAAATCGAAGTATTTTGCACAAATACATTTTGAATTCTTTGAGTGTATTCTAAACACAGTTAACATTTCAACCAAATCATGCCACATCAACAAAAGCTTGCTGTTGTCAAGGCTGCAGATCTTATAGGTCATTGGAAAAAGACAGATTGTGATCTGAGGCTGGAGGAAAAACTAGTGGTCAATGGCACTAGACATCACATTAATTTATTTGATACTAGAAGAATGACCGGCTTCGCTCGTGGGTCATAACCCCGAAACCGGAAATGGTAGACTAAAGCCAAGTGGCCTATCTTACTCCCCGGTCTGAGCTACCCGGTCTGAGCTACCCGTATACCCCAAATTTCAGACTCGGGGCAGACCTACTGTAGCCGCCAACCCCGAACAGACAGACAGACAGACAAACGACAGTCACAAATATTAGTATAGATTGCAACGCGTTGCATTTGATATCATGATTTGACAGAATGGTTTCCCTTGTAACATTGAAAATTGTAATTTTTATGGTCTTATTTTCAGGTCATTATTTGGATCAGAAGAGATTAAAGCAAGGTTTATACAGACATCCATGGGATGACATTTCATACATCATGCCAGAATCACAAGGAAATCTTTAAAAAACATCATCTTGATCAGAACAAACATCAATAATCATTATACATTTAAACACAGATAGATGTATGGACATTTAAATTATAAAATATTAGAACAAAAACATTATTTATTTCATCAACATGGAAGCATCTGGACCAACTACATTAAAAGATTTAATCTTGATCATTCGAACCTCAATCATAAGTCTTGATCACTCCAGCCCCAAACTATCTCTGAACATTTGTCTGGACAAACTGGTGCCATATTTGTTTACATTGTCATGGTTATTAAACGATTTGTTGATAGGAGGAATGACAATGTTTACATTGTCATGGTTCATGATTAGTCGATGGGAAGATTGATTATCACTTTGTATTTGAAATATGCATTGTTAAATGGTGGATTGAGGAATGAACTGTATTTGTTACCATAGCTACAATAGATGCCATTTTGTCTAGAATAATACTCGAAGCAGAGATAATATAGGATGGAGTGATATAAGACAAAATCAGTAAAGGTTGTAACATAATATATTACTTGAATAAACCTGTCTGCCATTCTACCGTAATATTAATGATGAGGATGCTGAAAGGATTACGTTATACTCCCCCGGTTCTATAATTATCTAAGACATATCATTTCTCGTTGTGGGCTAGATTGTATACAAATACAAGTGTTGGGTTACATGTTAATGGGAGAAATCATTTTAAAGTGATATTAGTAGTTGGAGACTGTTGTACTTTAGATTAGTTATACCAAGTATTACAAGGTAGCTAGAACCAAATTGAATGTATGGGTGTTATTTAATGTAGAACAAGTAGAGTTGTTCACCCTTGTTAAGATATGAATATTAGAAAGTCGGAAATATTACGAATAGTTATAAAAAGAAGTTTTAAGCCCCATTCTACTTGCATATTTGTCAGAGTTTTACCTTCCCTTTCTGACTGGAATTGAGAGGGTTAAAATCCATTTGGAGTGTACTCTTTAAACATCAATTTATATAGTTAAGGGTAAAACGGAGATTGACCTTACTATTTAGTAGCATGGCCTGGATTTCAATAATGAAGAGTCTTTGTACAATCTATTCTCTCACTGTTAAGGTGGTCTAAAGAGAGCGCATTATCACCCAGGGTTGCCGAGTGTTATGCTACTGAATATTATAATTATATATGTACATTGTTAGATATCTATGATAGAATTAGTTTAATTTATTTGTATAGTAATCTCCAATTTTATATAACTTAACTATTAATATGCTTTATATATATATATTATGCCAGAGTTGTTAGTTTACTGTGCTTCTAATGTTTTATCATATTAAGATTGGGATAATTCATTACAATGCTCAATTTACTCAAAATTCCTGCTTTCTGTTCAAATTCTCAAATATCAATAACTTTTTAAAATTGGAAACATCTACCTTAAAAGATAAATTTTCTTTAAATTAGTTATTGTAATTTACTTTGAATTTTATATTGTTATGCTTTTTATTGTGTTTATTTTGTTATGTTTAAGATCTGTTATTTAGACAATATTTTTGAGGGGTGTCTTGTCATAACCCTTAAAAAATTTAGCTGTACAATACTCTTTTGTTCATTTCTCATCCCAATGGAGGACTTGATGGTATCAATAAATGGCTTCAACTGAGAAAAAGTGGCTCAGAAAACAAATCCTAACTAAAATATTATTTTAAATGTTGATACTGGCAGTATAATTTTTTTTATTGGAATTATTAGGAAGATAATTTATCAGTATTTGTTGACTCTCATCAACCTAAAATAATTGAGTTTCATTCATTATTTTTCATCTATCAAGTAGATTATTTAAAGTCTTCAAATATATTATGAAATATTGCCATTCATGGTTCTATATTTGTGAAATCAATGAAGGATGATAAACAAAAGTATAAATCAACATTAATCCTTGGTATAATCCTTTAAATCAAAAAAGTTGGGAATATGAGTTATGCGGGATAATTGAAAAATCATGTAAGCTTGATGCTGTACTATGTTTGGTTGAAATCTATATAAGGTATTAAAATATGGTTAAACACATTGTGTGGGAATAATAGTTATTTATAAGCTTTAAATGTTGTGCTATATTTGTTTTGTGTAAATTTATAGGGGGCATCATTTTATGTTTAAAGTTAAAGACAATGTTGGGGAATAATAAATAGTTATGTTACCAGAAGATATCTAGTTTATCTTTATTTGAAAATACTGCTGCATATCCTAATGTAGAAGTAGCTCTGGAGACTTTGTGATGGTTTTCAATACTTCAACTGAAAGCCCTTTCATCCGCCTCTGATAGAAGCCGAGAGAAGTGGTTTATCATGTTGCTTTTATTGCCGTCGCCCCCATCCGTCTGTCCGCCCGCACATCGTTCAAAGTTCCTTGTGAACACACTACCGACTACATTTATCATCTAATTGTTTTGAAATTGATATTTCAATAATTTCTGTAAATACTTCTAGAGTTAAGGCCCTTGTTTTAGTTTGTGAACGCTCAAACAACAGAAATTATAATCTGGTCTGTATGAAATTGATATATAAATGCCCACAATTACCTATAAAAGAATAAATATGCGACAACCCTTGTCCACCGATCAGACGATCGGTAAACTGGCGGCTCTGCTTGTAAACGGCACAGATTGTCACGGTATTTTTGGAATCTGACGCGTTTCTGATCTGCAGTCAAGAGCTTTGGACCCATCTTGCAGAAATATCAACCCTCGCATGAGAGATGCCCACAACACTGGTAATATGCCGAGTGGTCAATCCAGGGGCGGATCCCCACCCCACCCCCCTGCTCAGCTACATAAAGGTTTTTTGTAAATCAACACTTTTTATTTATGAGAAGTTTCTCGGCCGCGTGTTTTATCCTTTATCGTCAGATGTGGGACAGGATGGGATCTCAAAGCACGAGATAATGATATAGACATATCACAATTAATGCTTTGCATCCATGAAATTGAATCGCATTGTATTAATTCATAATAAAAATTGACGTCAAACAAGGCGTTGAATTTCTCTGTTTAAACAGCTCAATGTGTATGTATATACGCCAAAATGATGATAGAGACCATGCGGGAGGGGTGGGGGGAGATACATTGTCTCGGTAACCTCTGGCAAACCCCCTCCTGCAAAAATTCCTGGATCCGCCATGCAATCGTTGATCAGCAATCACCATGTCATGCCCCCGGGTAATGTTTTCTTGAATGGTTGCTGTTAATGGTTTTCCATATCACGCTTAAATTCCACAGCCCACTACCTTACTGTGGAACAGGAAGGGGTATCATCCCCTAATGTGGCGACCATATCGGCATATATCTGTACTGGGGTTAGTCCTTTCAGTTGCACCATGGCTAGTTTTGTCCATTTCTGGTGATAGGTTCACAAGATGGTCTGGTACGGGGACAATAACAATAACAGTTCTATGATTCATTCATTGATTGTACCTGTTGTGTTGGTGAAAAAAGTTTTATTTTTCAACCTAATTGATCTATCTTTTTCAGGCTTAGAACTTTTCAGCCAGCCGTCGTAATAATCAACTAAATAAACGGAACGAAGAGAATGATCAGTTATAATTTTATTGATTTTACAAAGCATAATTAAAGAGATGGTTTTATGTCCAAAATATCAAAGTGAATAAAGAATTTAGCTACTGTTGGCAGATGTGATTGTCAGAAATGCGATATTTATTACTATTATCAATATCAAATAAAACCACAGGAAAAATCTGTCCAATATTTTAGAAATATCCTGCCAAGAAAGCAGCCTTTCCCCAGTGTCCTCTAACTGGGATTCTGTCGGATTTTCGATTTCATCGTTTTCGTTTTTCGGCTTGATTGATTTGATCTCTACACTTGAAATGACTCTATTTACCTTTTTCTTAAATTGTCGCCGTTTACATCCTTTATAAAAGACAAGACGCCCCATGATATTCTGAAATAAAAACAACAACCAAACAGGTATAGACTCATTCACGTCACGGAAGTATAGATCCAGCACTATGGTGGTAAAAAAGACTGACATGGCTCCCAGTATCAACACTAATGCGACGTACACAACTGAAAAGATAAAACGATACATAATAGATTTTTGAAATGAAAGAGGGTTACAACGCTAATTATTCGAACACCTATAAAGAAAGTTATACATTTCGGACACATACCCTTCGATACCGCCACCCCCACCCGACACACAAACACACCAAACAAAACTAAAACAAACAAAAATCCCCCCAAACAACCAAATAAGCCCAATTTGATTAAAATACAGATCAATATTTTTGACCAGTTGTAGTACGGGGTTGCGCCTGGGGTCATACGAACGGCTTTTGATCCTATGACGTCAGACATTGGATTAACCCACCAACGTTGATGTCTCTAGTAGGATACCCATCGCACGCCAAGAACTCACTGCAACGGGCCGTTTCATTGGCTAATCCCTCACATCAACTAGATCGCGGGTTATATAACAACTCTCTCAGATCCTATTGTAGTAAAGACAAGTAAAACTATAAAAAAAACGGAACGAAATAGGATCTCTCTTTTAATCAGATTGAAATAGGCCCAACCCAATGCAGAAATGATATCACATAAATCCAACATTTTTTGAGGGTGGTTGCTCTGAAACAGGACTGAGTGATAAGGCTAACATACAGATAACTTTGATCAAAAATCGGCCAGATTGCTGTTTACGTGGAAATCATTTAGGTGTCCTGGCAGAACGCTGGGGTTTTCATAGTCGAATATATCGGGACAAGTTCATCCTTGACGCCCTTTACACGAGGGATGGACGTCTTGTTTCCTGTCCCCTACCCCGTCCCTATTGCACAGAATCAAAGATGCTTTCATGGATGTGTGCATTTAGATTGTAAGACTCCGTTAGGCTCCAAGTGACACAATATCACCTTAAGATAACGCCCCTTTCTATTAATTAAACATGCGTCGCTCTATGCATGTCTATAAGCTCCCCAAATATACAAACTTACCTATAAGTGAAGTATCAAGTGATATGGAAGGAATCTTATAAGCCACAAGAGTCAACAGCACAATGAATGACAAGAGGACAGTCAGAGAGTAACCAATCTTTTCCCCAGACTCAGCAGGTAAAGCAAAGACTAAGGCGGTAAGGACAGAGTTCACAATAACTGGTAAGATGATGTTCAGCCAATAATATTGAGATCTTCGCCTGAGTTTGAAATGGAACCTAATCTGACTGTAATCATCCTGCTTGATGTCCCGATTCCTGACTATTTCATAATATGGTCTTTCCATATCCCATTCTCCATTCGGTTTCATCAACCTGGTGTTGACAGCGTTATCAAGAACCGTTATATTCACCTCCCGTAGATTGTATCCCCAACTTTGTAAAATAATGGAACATTCCTGGGTGTCGAATGGATAGTATGTGATTTCGGCTTTACAGTTGACTTCATAGATTCCTGGAGGATCCCAAATAATCCTACCAGTATTATCAATCCTAAAGGGACAATATTCATCTTGAATTATCTCAAAATGGTTTATTCTGGAAAAAAGAGCAATCAAAGGGAAATGTGTATTCAGTGCTAATTTAATGCATTTTTTGTTGATGTTATTAGTAGAACTTTGAAATAGAAAAGATATTGTAGTTTCTACATTATATTCATCGATGCCCTCTCAGCGACAGATACGCCGACGTTTACATGAGTGCCAGAAATTGATTGGTGTGTGCTGAGAATTGTATCTAAGACACTGGGTATTTTATAAAAGGGTCTTGGAATAACGGTACATGGGCAAAGACTGATTTGTCAATAAATAGGAAGAATAGCATGGTGTTTTAGTCTAATTGTATATACTTACGAATTGCTAACAATAAGGGCAGGTCGCCAGACCTTTTCCTCTGTGGCGAAGATAAAGCCAACACTTTCGTTAGAAGGTTTCATCCAGGATAGTCTCTTGTCGTGCCATTCCTTAAAAGATATAGCGAATGTTGGGTCAATCACAAGTATTTGCAATAATCTGAAGATATAGAGTTCTTGTTTAAGTGAATCATCAAAATGTAAAACATGTAACTAGAAGATATAGTGTATTGGCTTAACTGACCCATCAGCATCTGTTATAACCAGAACCGATTTGCCTGCCTTTACATTGTGCAAACTATCAAAAATAAAAAATATTTGCAAACTCTTACCACGGTCAGCCACCCTGTTACTTTGAAACTCTGCTCAAGGATATCCTAAAAGGAAGAAAATGGATGATCTCATATTTTTATTTACAATAGCGTCAGACAAAATGAAACGGGGCTTAACTTCCTAATGTTCTGCACCGACTGGGCTAATAGCATCAGACAAACAAATGACAAGGTTAGTGCGAAAACTGTCATAAAATCACTTATTTTGGGCTTGATTTTTTTTTTACACTTTAATTCACTTTAATTCTAATTATAAAATCGATTTATAATTATGAAGTACACGCCACATACAGTTCCATTTGCAGCTCTTTAGGGATTAGAGGCACTATTTTTAAATAATTAATTAATCTCAAAACAACGTTATGGTGATTTCGTGATTATCAAGTACTCTACTAATAGAAAATTAATTTTCGTATACTTCAATATAAGAAGAATGACGGATTTCAACAATTAGTCCCCCAAAACTAATCAGAGGAACGATTGAGACAAAATGCGGCAATAATAATGTTTCTTTCCAATGGTGGCACTAGCTCCTCCAGTAAAGTCAAATATATCATTTGATGAAATGTAAACTTACCATGTGATTTATGGTGAGAAGATTTAAACGAACTTGAAGTAAAACTGTTGGATTTGGTCTAACTTTTAAATCATAACTTCTATTGGTGAATAATTCAGTTCGTATAGCTGTTTCATGTTCAACACTGGATCCACGGACTCCTGGGATACAAAACCACATAAACAAAAGCAGTCTGATTAAAATTAGAGAGGGATGGGGTTTAACGTCCACTCGACACAAACTAGGTCATTTCGGGACTAACATATGATTCAATTTTATTTCAATATTTCGCTTGCGCGTAGGGGTCTTTAGCAGTGATAGGAAGCCGGAGGACCCGTAGAAAACCCAAGAGGTTGAACAGACGACCTACTCCTTGTCACGAACAACCGGGGAATCGAAACTACGCCAGTTGACTCAATGAGCGACCTTATGAAACAAGGCGCACGCGCTAACCATTCGGTCATCCAACCCCTTCGTCTAAACAGCAGCCGTCCTGAAATGTGTGTCAAATATTGTATCTGTCAATCACAGACCTTATGAGCTAAAGCGCATTGATTAAATACTCGTCGACCCAACACCGCTAAAACTATTGTTTGTGTTCTAGAAAGATAACATACACTACACCGTGTACGACACCACAGTAATTGATAGGAAATGAGTTTACGTCTAATCACAGCAATACTTCGGCCATTTCAGAGAGAGAGAGAGAGAAATGGGGTTTAACGTCCACTCGACACAAACTAGGTCATTTCGGGACTAACATATGGTTTAACTTTATTTACATAATTCGCTTGCGCGTAGGGGTCTTTAGCAGTGGGAGGAAACCGGGGGCCCCGGAGAAAACCCACGAGGTTGGACAGGCGACCCTACTCCTTGCCACGTACAACCGGGGATTCGAAACCACGCCAGTCGACTCAATGACAGACTTTATGATACAGCGCGCTCACGCTAACCATTCAGCCATCCAACCCCCCCGGCCATTTCAGACTAATATAAGTGAAATAACATTACTAAAAAAAGGAAATGATAAATATCACCGAGTCTATGTCGGAACAATTTAATGTCATTAATCAGTTTTTAAACATACGGCCAGCTTTTGAATATTCATATTAATTTCGAAAGCCTCAAAGTTTAAAGATGCATTATGTAAGAGCCAAATCTGCTTATTGTAGCTCTTTAGTTTGGGTTTAAATCTTACACAAACTATTAATTAGAAATTTATTGACATGACAAGTCTATAATCAACTCTCTAGACCATCGGATGGCCGAGATGTAAATGGATTAGAACAGCCGCGAAATGCAAAATGTTAACGATAAAATGGATAATCGAGACTTAGTCGTCAAGTACCGTGTCTACTATATAAACCAATCTATACCACATCCTGTTAAAACTGCAAACATTCACAACTTCCCTCAGAATAAAGCAATTTAACTGATATGTTCAATATATTCATTTTTCAGTATCTATTTTTGAATAATTATAGCAAGAACAACCTGCTCTTTCTCTAGATCTTAGATAATGCATATGCATCTTTAAGCTATGGTACTGGCCATTGTTCTCGAATAATGCCAATTGTTTACCTCTGTATAGTAGGCTGGTAGGTGGAGGGTGTTTGTGGGAAAAAATTCCCGGAAAGATGATTTGTTGTTTTTCTGTTAGGGGTTGGTCTGTAGTACTCCAGAAAAAAAGTCTCCATGAATCGGCCTTGGGGAAAATTTTTTACAGGATTTTTTAGTTTTGGTATCCGATCTCACTGTGTTGTTCTAAATATCCTGCTAGGAGTCCACAGCATTGATGTATCAGATCAAACAAATGTTTTCGATTTTGCCAGAGCGGACTTGATCTTTTGCCTGATCAGGTATATCTAAGATTGGGTTTAATATCCGATCTAAAACTTTCACTTTCATTGAAACCGAAAGTAATATTTTTTGGGAGCGGATTTTGAGGAAAATGATAGGTTTTTGTGGTGAAATGGAGGGATAAGGCGGTGATATGAAAGTGGACGAACAAGATCTGTTTGCACCGTGTAAAGAACGGTTGCTGGAAGACGTTGGTGTATACCCCTAACAGAAAAAACAACAGATCATCTTTCCGGGAATTTTTCCCAACAAATCCAAGTTTTCATCATTCGCCTACCAGCCTTTAATGTCACATATTGTAAATACTATTTATTTTACTTGCCAACTAATTTAAGAATTAGATCTTTCAATACGTTGTATTTGAGAATTAGATCTTTCAATACGTTGTATTTGAGAAATATGACGGTTTGTAAGATTCAGCAAGTTTGTTGACAGTAAAAGTATATTATGGTTTTACCACCATGTGTGATACCACTTCTCATGTACATGTACAATTCATAAATCCAATAACTTTTATGACCCCCCCCCCCCAAAAAAAAAAACAAAAAAAAACAACCGAAATGTAATGAGGTTTAACGTCCTACTGCTCTCTTTTGCTCCTCGGACTGGGCTAATGAAGACATCATACAGTGTCGTTAGGGTAATATTATATATGGAAATGAGACCAATCGTCCCACACTGATCCGCAGTGAATATTCGCTAGGCCGCTACAATCCCTGATAAGGATGACATCAATGCGACTTAATGAGTCTCAAATATTAACTTTTTTCCACCGACAAATTAAATTCTAAAACATTTTTTTTTATGTATAAGAAAAATAAATAAAGACGTTTGACGTATTTGTAGGTAAAAATTATTTCCTATTTAGTGTAAATGGATATTAATATGAGTAAAAGGCAGCATTCTGCCCGAAGCAGTAACGTCTTATGTAAACAATGCACGCGCCATTGAGCCAATGATTGACGCCGCGTGTTGTGACGCCACGTGTTGAATGCAGTCATCTTTTACAGAGATATAGAAGACTTTCGTAATCCTCTGTGAAACAGATTGTCAGTGCACATGAGCAAGCATTCTTCGGTTAAGACGTCAAGGCGAGGTAGCGTGAGTGCGAAAGCGCGAGGAAACGGGACAAGAATGCAAGCTTCTTAAGTTCAATTCGTACGCATGTTCACTGATTACCAACAACAGCACAATTTGCCCAAACCCATACAAATCTGCAATATTCAACCTACTAATATTCCAACTCAAATCACATGTTTTCCGGCGTGTTTCCTCTTGTCAGTGGTGCAGGAAGGAGGACATGACAAGGGCAGCTATTTAGACGTTCGGATGAGACGAAAAGTCGAGGTCACGTGTTCACATTGGCATGCACGTAAAACATCCCTTTGCAGTTGGAATTTGATATAAGAGTAGGCCGTAGCACCGCTGTGCGGGCAATATTTCCCCCATAGTACACTTTATGGCGTATGCCCGTCTTCATTAGCCCAGTCGGAGCAGAACAATAGAACGTTAAACCCCATTTCATTTCATTTTATTTTCAAATCACATATCATTATTTCTCGTTATTTGAAGTTCCTGGTGATAATATGTTATTTTATTGATTAAAAACTATATTGTTTTTTGTAGAAATTTTATACTTTTTAAAAACAAAAACAAACATTTTGGGGACAACCACGTTTATTTAAACTACGGCTTAGTTTATCAATTAAAGTACTTTTCTGCTTCAAATAAGACGGGCATACGCCATGCAGTGTAGGCCTACTGTGAGGTACATTTTGCCCAGACAGCGGCGATACGGCCAACTTTTATTTCAAACTCTGTCGAGGGTTATATTACGTGTACGCTTACGCGGGACTACCGTTTTCCGTTCCATCAGAAAGACTGGACACTGTTGCCTTCCATCCCTGCACCACTTACAAGGTTATACCAGCCAGCATGGGGACAAAAATAAACTTCTTAGGTACAGACCACGATTTAAGTTTGTAATTTTTTTTTACATTTTCATGCGTTGTGTTCACGTTTGCCGGCGACCTTGTGCATTTTCCGGTCGCCGTACGGTCGTAGCAGCGCAGTAAAGACGCCACCCCGGTCTGACGGGGTGAACCAGCGATACTGTGACTCCTACCTTTTGACAAAAGTCAGGGAGATTTGAAATTGGGATGTGGCCAAGAAAAAGTTTTAGCATATATTCCGTAACAGAAACTTGGCCTTACAGCATCGCAGTCTGATGCGGGATACGAAGTCTAAAAAGAACAACACTAAACGACTTTTAAAAAAAACTAGAAACATCCTACGAAAAGGGGATTTAAATTTTGAATATTTTTTATAATAGCAAGCTAGCATAGTGTATTCTCAATTATGAAAGCTATATTGAAAGCATACGTTAGAATACATATCAACATACAAAACTAATTCACTTCTGAATTATAGATTCCTAATTTTATGGGTGCAATTGAATCAAACGATCTTTTCAATCCTATTTGTGTAATGTTCAGGCGTGGCAAGCTAAAACAAATGCTGAATAATTGCTCCCTCGCATCGTTGAGATTAGGCTTCCATAGCAAGGACTTAACCGAAGAATGCTTGCTCATGCGCACTGATTGTATTTTGTCGACTTGTCGGGTTGTGACGGCACGGCAAAGCGAAATAGCTGTATATTGTCGACTGAATTGACCCGACATGTCGACAAAATGAAGGCGACGATTGTTGGGTTAGTTTGTCGCGTTGTCGGGTTCATTTTGTCGATTTGTCGCCTTCACAACCTGTCAAATCGACAAGACGACAAAATACAAATATTTCGACTTGTCGCCTTCACAACCCGACAAGTCGGGAATGTAGAATGGCCGCTAACAGCCACCATACTCCAGTATAACATTCATTATTAATAATGTTTACCCAGTCCTGTGGTATAGATAATAATATAATATCATATAATTTATTTATCTTATCTGTATCATAATCAGGATATTCCGAGTGTATAATATCAATAATAGTGTGTACATGCATTTAACCGGTCTTCACGTAACATATAATATCAAATATTTTACACACATTAGACAGTTTAATAATATCAAAATGCAATTTCTCACCATTATTAATTATTAATGGATTATAGAATAAAGGCTGGCATGAAACGTCAAATATGTTACAAGGATTTTATCTAAAATTTGCATTGAGTTTATTCCAAGCTAACAGTAATGTTCTATAGAAAACAAGTAAATCTTTTAAAAATACGTAATCATAATGTATTTTAAAAAGATTGTGACTTAAACCTAGATTTGAATATTTTCTTTAAAAAGTATGTCACTGTGTCTTTCTAACGGCGTTATGTGAAGAACCAAAGTATTTTATTAACCATTTGATACAAAAAGCATCTGATTTCATAGTTATATTGGGAAGGCCTAAACCGCCTACTGCTCGGCTACCGATTATCGAGTAGTACTGTATTCGAGGTGGCTCATTGTTCCTGATATAGCTTAGCACATGCGTTGTTATTTCACATGTAACGGACCAAGGGATAGGGATAACGCTCGCAGTGTACCAAAATTTAGATAACAGTAAAGACTGTATGACAAAAATCTTGCCATGTATAGTAATTTTACGTTTAAGCCACATGTTTAAAATCCGTCTAATCTTAAAGATACATTAGTTAAGAGTTTTATAGAGAGTTGGCCATTCTTGCTATAATAATTCCAAAATAGATGATAAAAAAGAAAATGTTGAAAATTTCAATCAAATTACTTTGTTCTGAACGGAATTGTCACTGTTGGAAGTTTGGACTAGAAATAGGCATCAATTGTGTCTGTACCGTCTATGAGAATTGGCGATCGTTTGATTGACAGACGATAACTCCACCCACATATTCTCGATTATCAAGTAACATGCTCAACGGCTATGGTAGCCTCGCTTGGCAGGCCTTTCATAACCAGTTTCCGGTAGTGACATCAGCGACTAACGGTAAACGTTAGCTTGGTCGGCCATTTATTGATTTAATTTTATATGGACGACTGTTTAAATCCAAATTGTATTCAACCCACCCGTGGGTCTATAGAGCTGATTTTGAGCTTGTCATGTAAATAAAGGTCTAATTAATAATTTCTATAACATCTGAAGCCTAAATAAAAGATTGCAATAGGCAGATTTAGCTTTTGCATAATGTATGTTTAATAATTTTATCATTCCAATTCAATTGATGGCATATATCTTTATTAGGACCTAAATAAACACATAGGATCTTTATACAATCCAGTTTAATTATAATGGCGTTAATGAAATTGAAAGATTTATATCTACATGTACCTATAGGTAACAATTCAGTTTTGTTTACATTGATTTTAGCCCCAGAGGCTTTACATTAAATATTTAGTATATTAAAAACCATATCAACTGATTCTGTATTATCAAGAGTTAGATTGGTGTCATCTGCATGCTGATAGATAATAGAAGTAAAATTACTGTATGTCTTTAATGGGTAAATGTTTAATTAATAGGTTTAAAGGTCCTGTGCATAATACATACAACATAGCAGACATGGGACATCCTTGACACATAGAACGTGTGAGTTTACATTAAGGAGGTAAATGATCATTGCATTTTACATTGCTAACAATATCTGTATACATGATTTTAATATAAGATATAAAATTATCTCCAAAACCGAAACATTTCAGAATATTAAACAAGTATTTGTGAGATACACGATCAAATGCTTTTTCGGCGTCTAACGTCTTACACGCTGAGCCACCGCTGCTCCGTATGTTTGCGGGAAAATGTAAACAATAAAATGACTTACCGTGTGATATTAATATAAAAGGAATAAGAAACACGTTCATTTTATACTGGCTGAATATCACGCAGTTTCGTATGTTTGTTGGTATTCAAGTAAAAGGAATAAGAAACACGTTCATATTATATGTGAATAAATAAACCCGATCTTACTTTCGCGAACACAGAGTTATTATCACAAGATTCATGTAAAGTTATAATTCTTTAAACTTAATCGGTAAACCAACGATTAAAATTTCTGTTATCCTATAAAACTCTTTGTCTGCGATATCACCCTTGGTGGAAGCGGACGTTAGCCCTCACCAATGCACGAACTACTTTCCGAGGAAAACAGGATTGCAGTGAACCAATGCAACAAACTCTAATATAACGTATTAGTGGAATAATCGCTCAATACAACCAGTGAAATTTAACACAATATTATATTGATTTATAATCAGAATATAATAGTCTAGGTAAACATACTGAATACGTACGTGATTACCTTTTACAGAACACCTGCTTCGCGATTCAGCTGATCAACAAATGGCGTAGTTTCCATGTGATTTTGTTTTAGAACATCCCGACATCTTTAACTTGCTTTTTCTCAAAAATACCTTTTCTGACTAAGTTGGGCAACATCAAATGGATATAGCCCGATTCATACCAATCTCACATCATTTTAATGTATTAAAGCGGAGAGGGTGACAATAACGATAACTCAATTTTCAAAATCTCCCCAATTGCGACTCAATTTGTCAGCACGGGCCACAAATTAAGGTTAATTTAAAAAATAGAATAAAAAAAAAACATTAGAGAAGCAGTACCAAAGTTTCCAGGACACAAGGAATGAAAGTGAGTTTGTTTACCCACAGATGTAAATCAGACGCCAAAATGTGATGATATATTCTATTTATACCTAGTCTGAAAGTTTATAATTAAAATATTGAGCTGGTCAAATATAATCACTGAATTTGTTGTTAAACGGGATTACGAAACTCATTTAATAAATCTCACTGTTATTTTATTAGTGACTTGATGATCACGACGACCACTGCCATGTTGTATCTATGCCGGACTGAACTCTCGGTCACGACAGGGTCTTCGGGCAAGTTTCCATTTTAAGTTCCACGTATCAAAGAGATATTGTAATCTAGACACTTACACATAGTGTAATTTGGGAATTTATTAACAACCCCATATGGAAACAAAAAGTTTGTCTTTCTTTCAATACCCATTAAAGTTGTACTCTCCGTCGAATTCCATCTGTCAGCGATTCTTTTACGTGCATGCCAACAACTACACGCTTGGACTTGTTTTTGTTGTCCCATCCGAATGACTAAACGCTCTCACCAATCAAATAATTGTAGTCATTTGTAGTATTAAGTAATATATTAATTAGTATATTAATTGTTTATATTAATTGAGGTTAATCAAACTCATGTACTTGTTTTAAAAAATACAAATTGTACATCGTTAAGATATGAGAAATGTTTTAAAATGATAATTGTAGTCATTATCGCATTAATTAATATGTTAATTAGTATATTAATTGTTTTATATTAATTTAGGTTAGTCTAACCCTAACGTACTTAAATGTTTTTACTATTCAAAAAAAGTAGGGGATATTTGATTTTTAAGTGTTATTAAAGTCACCTAATGAAACTGACGAAGAAACAAATGACAAAATGAAATGAAGTTCACATTCATCGATTTATTCCAAATGATCGTTAGACTAAGTAAGGCACAGACTGACCATTATAAGGGTAAAATGATACCCGGGGTCAAACAGCAAAGTTACCACAGCATCACAACCAAGTCAGTAACGGGTAAATCCTCCTCTGTTTGCCAAACAAGCATTGATCCGACGTGGCATACTCCTAATGAGACGTCTAAGGTCATTTTGGTCCAGATTGTCCCATTCCTGTTGCAACGCAGCAGCAAGTTCTTGGACATTGGCAGGACGTTGTTGACGTTGACGTAACCTCTGTCCAAGCATGTCCCAGACATGCTCGATGGGGGAGAGGTCGGGACTCAGTGCTGGCCAAGGTAATGTGGTGATGTTCTGTTGTTGGAGGTAAACTGTAACGATCCTGGCCCTGTGACATCTTGCGTTGTCATCCTGGAAGATGAAACGGCGGCCATGACGTCGTGCGAACGGCACAACATGGACTGCCAAGATGTTGTCCCGGTAGTACTGGCCTGTAACACGCCCTGCAACAACATGTAAAGCCGTTCTTCCAGCAACAGTGATGCCTCCCCACACCATAACAGAACCACCCCCAAATCGATCATGTCTGATGACGTTAACGTCTTGGAAGCGCTCGTTTCGACGACGCCACACCCTCCTACGTCTGTCCAAAAAATCAACAGTGAACCTTGACTCATCTGAAAACATCACATTGCTCCAGCGTCGATTATCCCAGTGTTGACGATCCCTACACCAACGACGTCTTTCCTGAATGTGATGATCTCTCAAACAAGGGATCACGCGAGGACGTCGGGCGCGAAGGTGACCCCTATGCAGTCGATTCCGAATCGTCTGGCCACTCACTCTCACACCAGTGTCTGTTTGAAGACGAGCGCTGATCTGATTTGCTGTGATGACACGATTTCTCAAGGCCAAGGTACGGATAAATCGATCCTGGGCTTGAGTTGTCGCCCTTGGTCGACCTGAGCGTGGTCTGTCCTGTACAGATTGTGTATCACGGTATCTGGACCATAGCCTGCTTATGACAGACTGAGAAACATTCATCGTCCGCGCCACAACCGCCTGTGTTGTGCCGATCTGTAGCATGCCAAGGGCACGTAACCTTTCATTTTGGGTAAGCCGACGCATATCAAAATTTGTTTTCTGGTCACTAAAACAATTAAACTGATGTTTCCACCCTGGAATTCAATGCCACAATGACTGTAACATTCAAAGTCAGAGTCGTGCAAATCTTGGGTTGGACCCCCATGATGATCCCAAGCATCACCTGCATTCCATGCGGTAGCTATTGGTGCGTTTGGGCGTCACATGTAACTGGAAATGTTTCTTCTGTTAGGTTCTATAGTGACTTTTTTCGTAGTCATTTGCATATTTTAGTATTATGCCCCCAAAATCAAATATCCCCTACTTTTTTTGAATAGTATATATTTAAGAAAAATAAAAGTGGTTAGTTCTTTAAAAACCAGGTTAATAATATTAATATTACATTATGTATTTAACAGATGTTTTTCGGGGTAGTAGGTGAACTTTTGACCGATATTCTAAAAAATGCCATGAACCTTTTTAAATCAACCAATAACCTATATTCCTTCTATGCCAGTTTTTTTTGGGTTTTTTTGCCGAGTTGTTAAAAAAACTACAAGCTGTATGCTGTTAACGCGTAAGAAAATGGCCTTAAAAAACCCAAAAATGACTAGATAATTGTAGTAATTAACGTATTAATTAATGTGCGAATTAGTATATTAATTGTTTTATATTAATCGAGGTTAATTAAACTCACGTACTTGTTAAAAGATTACAAGCTGTATGTCGTTAACAGATGAGAAAATGTTTTAAAAGTAAAAGTAGTATTAAGTAATATGTTAATTAGTATATTAATTGTTTATATTAATTGCGGTTAATTAAACTCGTGTACTTGTTTAAATAATTACAAGCTGTACATCGTTAAGGTATGAGAAATGTTTTAAAATGATAATTGTAGTCATTATCGTATTAATTAATATGTTAATTAGTATATTAATTGTTTTATATTAATTTAGGTTAGTCTAACCCTAACTTACTTAAATGTTTTTATTTTAGCATTTGAAATATATTTAAGAAAAATAAAAGTGGTTAGTTCTTTAAAAACCAGGTTAATAATATTAATATTACATTATGTATTTAACAGATGTTTTTCGGGGTAGTAGGTGAACTTTTGACCGATATTCTAAAAAATGCAATGGACCTTTTTAAATATGCCAATAACCTCTATATTCCTTCTAGGCCAGTTATTTTTATTATTTTTTTTTTTTTGCCGAGTTGTTAAAAAATTACAATCTCTATGCTGTTGACGCGTAAGAAAATGGCTTTAAAAAAACAAAAATGACCAGATAATTGTAGTAATTAACGTATTAATTAATATGCGAATTAATTATATTGTTTTATATTGATTAAGGTTAGTTAAAACCGACATACTTCAGTAAGATTTTTATTTTTTTATTTTAGCCTTTGAAATATATTTAACAAAAAATATAAGAGGTGACCTCTTTTAAAACAAACTGACGGCTAACACTAGATAATGTACTTAAGAGATGTTCTAACCGATGGCTTTTGATTTTAAACTAGATAAAACATAATATCGTGCAGTAAAACATGCCATCCACATATATGTGTGTTACATACAGATGTGATCATGTGATCTGTTTAAAAAAAGGAGCGGCTTATTTAAAAGCTGATGACGAAGCACCATTCCTTTGTTCAATGCCAATCTTTCAGTCTTTCGCGTGGTGGGTCCCCTTTGGACCGATATACTAAAACTTAATCTGGAACTATTTAAAATATGTCTATGAACTTTTGTAAACTTTTGCATTGACCTGAATTCATCTAAAATGCAAATGACTTGCGAAATACACAATTGTCATTGGTTTTCTAGGTCTTGCATGAAATGGAAATTCACCGAACATGCAAATAATTTGTGACATACACTCCCTCATTGGTTCTGTTAGATGAACTTTATGCCGTCTGAACCGTATATGTAAATGACTTTGTTTCTGTGGTATATAACCACGAATCCATAAGACCTTCTTACCATTTTTCAAACTTGTTAAAATCATTTACCGATTATTTGTAGATATTTTTTTTAATTTGATGGAAAGTTTGCTTCTGTAGTCAGATGTTTGAAATTTGAACAATATTTCATCTGCTGATAGTTTTATATTTAATGAAAGGTTTTAATAAAATGTGGTGGTATGATGAATCTGTTCCAATATTTGAATTATGAAAATAGTATGACCAAGTTTCCATGACCGAAATATGTTCTTTATATAAATGGGTTTTATTTTCGTTACACAGTATTTTAGATTCGATTTATATATTATAGCGGTGGTCACAGTTATCTTGTATGGAGTTATGACATGTTTTAGCACCATGTAATTTAATATCTTTGAGAACTAAAGAAAATGTCTTCTGTAAAGGCAATTTGGTGACTATGTTTAATTAACTCCAGTATTTTAGTTGTGACATATGTTTTAATCATCAAAATAAAAGTCAAGCACCTTGGTGTCATTTGATATTCTTGAGAACCAAAGAATATGTCTTTGGCGTGGGAAAGTTTGGCATGTGTTATATAACCAGTGTCTTAGCTGTGTCAGATGGTTTAGCTATCAAATTACAA